CAGAAGTCTGGCTCGTCGCCGGCCAGCGCCGCGCCTATTTCACCGCCACCGAAGATCAAGAACACGAGTGGCCCATTGTCCTCATTCCGCTTCGACCGGGAAATACGCTTCTACCTAACGTGGAAATTCGGCCACGCATCAAGGCAAGACCCGAAAAGGGGAAGAGTGATACGGGTGACGTGGAGATTCTCAACTGTGAAACGGATAATCTCAGCTTTGCGGATGCAGTAGTTGTCGCGCAGGATGTACGGAGTAGTACCGTGGGTGTGGGGGATATGGGCATGGGAAGTATGAGGGGCGTGGTTTGGTTGGAGAGTAGTGGGTTGGGGGATGCATGAGTTTGATAGCGAGGTGAAAATGTTTGTATGAATCGAGTGTGTTTATGATAAATGGTGGATCGAGAAGATGAGCGTGTTCGTGGCTCCATTGGCGTTACTTTGTTGGTCTGAACTCTTTGTGCACGGGAACGCGTGTAGATGGTTTCGAGCCACGAGTCTTGGGTAGGCATGGTAGATTACAAGTACCTTCACCTGCAGCCGTACAGTGAGCAGTTAGATATAGGAGGGGGGCTGCAGTAGTAAACAAATACTAGACGGTGCTAAGAAAAAAAGATTATAAACTAGATGCTGTATGTGTTGTATAAGCAAGTCCTCATCTTATACCTAATAAGTTTCGCATAAGGGTTATTTCGTAAACCTTATACATTAGTAGCTGCCATGTAACTTAGGCAGCTTCGATAAATAAAAGATCTAAAAAAAGAACTGTCAAAATAAAAACATACGACAGCGGGGATTCGCTAGTGGTCACCCACCTAACTACTAATCCGCCGGTAGAAAGCTTGTATAGGGCAGATCGGACGGGATGCCTAATTCTATTTCTCCGATGGTCGTATGTACCATGCATTAAAATTAACTCTTACAAATCTGCGAGTTTTGGTTTTCCAAGACAAAGTTCTGAGATACATCAGAATCAGTATCATAGTAAATTCAAAGAGAGCTATAGTAGAGTAGATAGAGTATATAGCTTACTAATCTAGATAGCTTATATAATAGGCTATCCCCTTTATAGTTTAGTATTATAAGTAACAAAAAGAATTTATCTTCTAAAGAAGAGATAAGGTAGCTAAAGGCCTAAAGACGTCTATAGTAGAAGGTGAAGATTACGTAACTTAGTATTCTACTAAAATTAGGGCTGAGGCTGTCTTAGTGAGACAATTGGTGAATCTTTGGTGGACCCTTCTATCTTTAAAGACGCTGAGACCAAAATGAGAGCCTATTTCCCTAGTTTGTATTTGGATGACCTCTCATATCGACAGTTATGTAGCTCCCTATTAGATATAACTCTAATATACCTATGTACCTACTCTCCAAGCGCAACCTCTAACAGACATCTTTTAATAAAAGACTTATCTGCCTTAGTACGGACTAGGACTGAGCAGTACAACCCAACACTATCTATAGTAACGCCTCCAACAAGAGGCGTTGTGTTCGAAGCTCGGTCATGTACTTTTCGACTACGAAGATAGGTCTGACTTGGCATAGATATGTGCTTCTGCCCCTGATTGGTTGCGTAGCACTATGCTCGAAAGTCTGCTTAGTAGTTAGAGCATAACTAGACTTGAAAAAGGCGAGTGAATGTAAAAAAATATGTACTTGCAACTAGCACAAATAACTTTATATTCTGCACGTAACTGTTTAGAAAGCCCTTTAATTGCAGAGTTCTCTTATTTCCCTCCCTAATTAGCCAGTCTTTTAGCGCCCCGAATCTCTTCAACATGTGTAGTATTCTTCAAACGATATCTTGGGCACTATGGCCGATGGCAACGAACAGAACGAGCTGGGTAATACTCGGGACCACGACTTTGGCCTATGCCATTGTCGCTAAATGAACGGGCTCCGTTACAGCCTGTTGTACTTTAAATAATATTAGTACAAAACTTGAGGTATAAGTTGTGTACACAACAGGATCCTTACGTCCAGAAATCGCAAGCGAAACCCCAAGTATTATAGGAGAATGCATGAGGACCACCAGTATTAACTATGTACCAGAGTTAGTATATAAATCACACTTGGGTTATTTAGTTTAATGTAGCTAGCCAAAAGGGAATTCTTACCGCAACCTTTCTGTGGTGATATATCTACATTTTTGCAGGAACTGTTCGTGCCGATGCAGACAGTTGGTGGTCCTTGAGCTCCTGGTTCTCTTTTAGGAAGAGAAGCGGCGCTTCCAAGGAGGGCAATAGTAGTGATGATGAGAGTCTTCGCAAGGATTTTGAAAGATATAAGAATATAGTGGTAAATCTTATGGAAGAAATTGCCAAGTGCAACAATCTACAGGAGCTTGTGCAGAGCATGCTCTTATAGATATCTTTGTCTTACTAATATAACTGATTATGTATATTTATAGTTAACTGATAATGTTTAATGCTGACTCATCTATTATCCATGACGGAGAGGTAAACATCAGCGGCGGTATAACACTGACTAGAAAGAAAACTCTAATTATTTATAGGCCGGGAGAGGGCCGATATAGTCATCGTGCCGCTATGTTATTTCTCAATATAGCAACAGCATCAGCGTCTGCGTATAGCGTAAATAGCGATAGCAGCCAAGGTCGCGTTGTAATAGTCAAGTATTACGAACCTAAAGGAAGAAGGCATGGTAGTTAAGTTAAGGAATATCAATAACTAGTCAGCCTAGCTATACATAACAGGCGGGCATGCACTACGTAACCTTTTTAGTAGCGCATGCTCGAGGAAGGGTCTTAAAACACTCCTCGTGTATAAGCTATAGAGGAATGTCTCTCGTATATAAACCACCAAGGAATCCTCAGACGCCTCTAACTAAGGGTTGCGAGTAACGCAATTATATAGTACAAGGCATTAAGCCCTTATTGTAACGGCTGAGCTGCCGACAAGACCAATATCCGAACAGGATCCGAACTAGGTTCTATTGAACTTAGTGGGAACTACTGGGATAAAAACCCACACATCTATGATAGCTTATTCTGCAGTTTTTCGATATCCTTTCGTACAAGGCCTATAGGTGTCTATTCGGATCAATGCTCGTTTGATGTCCTAAGCGCAACCTCTGACAGAGTACTCCAGGTGCAGCAGGCTTAGCAACTTACTAGAGCCAAAATCGGTAGTCACAGAGGCTGAGCAGGCTCAAGGCAGTCAGCAGTGTCAGCGCGCGACGCCGACGTGCACAAAGTGTCACACTCTAGGAAATACTCACACTCCACGCATAATCAGATAATAAACCCTATTCCCAAGCTTATCCCATTATATCAGTGTGGCTTAATATTGCAGAGTGTCGCGTCAACTTTGCTAAGGTATGTGGCTTGCTTGCGCAACACGTGAAACCCTATTCTTAGAAATAAATCTTGGTAGTCTCATAAAGTGCCCCCACTGAGAGCCATGACTACCCGAGGATTCAGTACCTTGGCGCCGGAGGCGACCCTCTTTTCTCTAGCACAATCTTGGCGAATTGCTGGATTAATGTGTCTTTGGATCTAGTTGAGCGAGTGGTTTGGTTCTAAAGCTGGAGCTCTAGTCTCTTTAGTATCAAGATAGCTCTGCATACGTTAACTAATGTTTCATTAAGATAACTACTTTCAAGCTGTACCTAACTCTCATACGTGGAGCTTTCTTTTCTGCAAAAGATTCAAGAGCCTGAACAGCGCATTCTTAGGATTAGTCTATTAATACTCTAGGTCACTTGGTAATACAGGATATTCCCTAATCCCTTTCATTCAGGAGTGTTCTAAGTACCAAGAGGCTCTCCTTCTCTACAGTAAGATGAACAGTTCAGGTTCAACACCTGTCCACATCAGAAGTTGATAATTATCGCGGGGCGTTGACCACGTGTCGTAGCCCTCTGCCAAAAGGGGGCCTCCCACTATGAGATGAATGCCACATTATCCTTAATCTCCTATGGAAGTGGGCTTTTTGGACAGATTAGATACGGCAAGGCTTAGAATAGGCATAAAGGCCTAGATAGATTTTGTTATTACGCTTGTTGTGGTAAGCTCTCCATCATAAGTGCCTCTCTTACCTAGACTGATGCTTAGTTATTCTATCATCATGATATTAATTATCCATTTTATTATTTGAGCTCTTAAGGAAATTTCCACAAGAGTCTATAATAGGCTGGCGCCCTGGATGTGACATTCAATAGGATCTTAGATCATCTCGATCTGAGCATTGTTCAGACAACAGCGCGGCTTGCCGGCCCGGCGTTTCTCTGATAGTATGCAAATGCTGGGTGATGGAGTAGATATGTCTGTATCGAATTCTACCTGAGTGCAATCCGGCTTCTGCTCTCCTGAGTATGGTCCGTCACAGAATCTTTGACGCTCGCATGGACTACCGCATTCATCTACCTCGCCCTAATTCAGATTGACATTAGAGAAATAGTTATAGCATAAACCAACATCACAAGAGGCTATAGAGCTCATACAGCTATTCTATTGCACATTGCACATTGCACATTGCACATCGTATCCCAAAGCGGCGCGTCGGTTGCTGCTGAATCCATTAAGGAGAATCGCTTCATGGCATGGAGCGGTTGTTCTCCGATTGTTATGGCGTGGAACTAGCCTTCGCAAAGTACGGATGGTCTAATAAGCCAAGAAAGTTATTCCCTCCTTGTGAGCGTAGCTCGGTCGAAAAAAATAATGGACATGCTCGCTACTAGGACTAACATGTTTAAACTTAATATTTGACTTTGCGTACACACCAACACGGTGCCGCAGTCCAATCATCGCCAGCTGTTATGGCTCCTTCCCATATCCATTCCGACTATAGGGCGAAATGCCAAGTGGATAAGCTCTCTCCATACTTCTGGCAGAGAACTTATAATCGCCAGATTTTTCGACAAATTCGCATCGCAGTCTTTCTTCATTCTCTGATAATACTGTTGTTTCGCAATCATCCTGCAATCACCCCCTTCGTTCACTCCTTACTGTTTGCTTCATATGTTTTCAATAAAACGCACAACATGAAGCTCGCCAGCGCAACACAAGTCATCTTTCCAGGCGTACTCTTCGCGTTTGTGAGCGATGCCACTCATCTTCCCCGAGCAGTCATCGGGAAATGTCCAAGCGGAGAACGTTCGACCTTCCTTATCAACAACCGGATCTATAATATCTGTCCTGGCACAGATTACTGGTCGCCAAACGTTAAAATTGTTCCAGACACAGCCAATGTTGACGCCTGTGTCATTCGCTGCTCCGAAACCGAAGGATGCGCAAAGGCATCATACAACTCGAAGTTAAAAACGTGTTACTTAAAGGGAGATCCAGAAGCTCCAATCTGGTTTGAAACGCCTGACCTGGATACGATCCGTGTCGGCAACGTGCCGCAGTGCCCAACGGATGAGAGGTTCATCAATGTCAACGACGGCAAATTTACCATTTGTCCGGGTACAGACTACTGGTCACCCAACGTTCAAATCATTCCTGACATTGTCAATGTCGATGCTTGCGTCACTCAATGTGCACAAGACACATCGACATGCGAGAAGGCCTCGTACAACTCTAAACTTAGAACATGCTACCTCAAGGGCAAGCCCGCTAGTCCAGTGTGGTTTGCTACGCCTGAACTAGACACTCTGCGTTTTTCCAAAAGCCAGGTCCCTGTTCCGCAGCCCATACCTACAACCACTTCTGTGGCGAATCCGGATCCCAGTCCTGTTCAAAACCCTGTTAGTAATCACCCAGGTCAATGGGGCAAAGTCTTTCCACTTCCCGTGATCCCGGTAGCTGGCTATGTGGTACCTGAGTGGCCAGAGTCTAATAGGCTGCTTTTCTGGTCAGCTTGGGCTACGAATAAGTTCAGTTTGTGGAGTCCGCCCAACGGCTACACTCAATTTGCCGATTACAACTACAAGACTGGAGCTTTATCTCAGCGCACTGTGTCCAATACTCGTCATGATATGTTTTGTCCTAGCATCAGCGCGTTGGCAGACGGAAGGATTGTTATCACAGGCGGAACAAATGCAGAAGTAACTTCGATTTACGAGCCGTCAACAAACCAGTTTGTTCGGGGACCTGACATGAAAATACCAAGAGGATACCAGACCTCGGCTACACTATCAGATGGCAGGGTCTTTACGATCGGCGGTTCTTTCAGCGGCGCGCGGGGTGGCAAGAATGGTGAGGTCTACGACCCGCGCACAAACACCTGGACCGTGCTTCCTAATGCCAGGGTAGAGCCTCTCCTGACCAGCTACGATTGGGAAGGCGATTGGAGGACCGACAATCACGCCTGGCTCTTTTCCTGGAGCAATGGCAGCGTTTTCCATGCGGGTCCTAGCAAGGGTATGCACTGGTACGGTACGACAGGCTCAGGTTCCGTTCAAGATGCTGGAATTCGCGATCCTGAAGCTGACGCAATGTGCGGTGTTCACGTTATGTTCGATATAGGCAGGATTTTTTCTGCCGGAGGAAGCCAGAGCTATACTGCAAGTCCTGCAACCTCTCGTGCCCATTTGATTACGATCACAGAAGCATTCAAAGCGGCCACCGTCGAACGACTGCCGCGAATGAATGACCCACGAGGTTTTGCGAACGTTGTAGTACTGCCAAATGGACAAGTCCTTGTGCTTGGTGGCCAACGTGTGTCGCGTGTCTTTCAAGACGACGAGTCTGTCCTGACACCTGAGCTGTTCGATCCCGCTACAAAGACATTTCGACGCCTCGCGCCAGCCGCAGAACCTCGCAATTATCACTCTATTGCTATTCTTCTTAGTGACGGTCGTGTTTTCACTGGAGGTGGCGGTATGTGCGGTAATCTTGCACCTGGCCAAAGTGAGCAATACTGCAACCGTGCCATCGATCACCAGAATGGACAGATCTTTACTCCTCCATACCTTCTCAACCAAGACGGCTCATTAGCTACCAGACCCATCATATTTGCTGTCGAGAGCAAAGGATATGCGGACGGACGCATTGTCAAAGTGGGTGGGACGATCATAGTTTACATGAACTATCCGAACGACCATACATTCTCACTTGTGCGTATGGGCTCTGTCACGCATTCGGTCAATAGCGATCAGCGACGTGTACCAATGAATAATGTCCAGAGGAATGCTGCAACATTCACGATGAAGCTTCCCAACGACTCCGGCGTACTGATTCCTGGGTTCTACTATTTATTTGCAATGGATGCAAGAGGTGTTCCATCGATCGCAAAGACGCTCCAAGTTGTGTTATGAATAGCAACGAGCTCTAGTTATGACTGTAGAGTATAGGAAATGCCTCTGAAATTCCAACAGAAGGCACTCCGTATTGCATACGCAGTATCTCAGATGTACAGTAAATTCAAATCAAGGGGCTGCATTGGTTCGTAAAACAAATTGAGGCCTTTGACCGACTATTATATGTACAAGGGGAAATCCTTCACGTGACACATACCCCCCCAATGACTTGTGGATCCCCTCAACTTTGGCCCCTAGGGTGGTTGTGTCTATGCTATGTAGGCCCTGTTCGGTGTCCAGTTTCAATTCCAATTTTATTTTCACTGGTAGCAATTTTAGTCGATTTTAGTGATCAACCGAGCTAGTTATACTGTACCGTACCGAACGGTGATGGGCCTCGGACGGCCACAAGCCCGATCTGCCCCACCAACTACTACTAACACCACCCGCCCGATCGCGCCACAACCACCCCAAATGGAGCCTATCAACGCTGGGCTTGAAGCTATAACTGCTTTAGAATCTAACATCCGTTACTGTATGGCTAAAACCCGATGTGCCGAAAATACCCAATCGGATTCCAAGGATCATGGACTTCAGTCTAGCCGTTGTGATCTGATTGAGCATTGTTGGCAAACAGCGTTTTTTGGCATGTAGTGACAAGCGTTAGGGAAAAACCTGTATATGCCTAAGTTGCTCGAAAATTCAGTGTTGAGCCATTCACGCTGAGGCGGCACCACCAAGGTTTGAACACCACGCGCGAGGCCTATCACCATAATCAACGTGCGCTGCACCCACAATAGAAGCTTAAACTTATCAAATATACAATGTGATATCCAAGCCTCACTTCGCATAAAGCTTTAGTTATGCAAGGTTATGGGTGAGAGTTCGTCTCACGTAAGCATATAATCATATATTGGAGAGAAGAGATGACGTGTGGAATCAGCTTTATGTGGATACATAAAGTATTCTTGTGAGATAAGTACACATTTAAATTGGTGTGATCAAACTGAGCTACTTGATGTTACATAGCTCCTGCCGGCTGGCCCGAGCAATGCCGTACTTGCATCTATTCCCGAAATGTTTCACCTCACGTCTTTCCATCTTGTCCCTCTTTTCTCCCACATAAGCTCAAGTACCCACAGCCGCCCCACCTCGTCACCGCTTCAACGGCAGAGATCCAGGTAAATGACGCGGATGTGCGCCGGCTCTATCTTACTACATCTCAGGACTTTTCAGCCGTTTGACTTTGTTCCTACTAACGGCATGTCCGGATAATCCCTGCTTGTATACTCATACACCTTCATAGCAAGATTTGGCCGTATAAACACCGAAAGCATAACGCTCATTCGGGTTTGCATGCCCGCCATACGAGTCCTAGCGTTGGCATCATTGCCCAACCAGCTTCTCTACCTTCTCTCTGCCCAATACGATTCTCTCTTATTAGCCGAAAACAAACTTTGTCACTCTCAATGAAAGTGATAGATTTTCCCGTGTTGAACTGCAGTAATGCAAGGTTATTGCTAGGGTATTGCATCGCTGGCTAGACTTATTGAGCTAGGGACGAACCACTTTTCTCTGTCGGAGAACCGGACCTCCTATAGGAACTCTTGGATCAAGGTCAAAGTAGTTCATGGGTTCATGCACATGCAGGAAAGGTGCGATGATGCGCCAAGGGTAGGATAAGCCGGACAAGCTTTGCTTCCAAGGGAGCTTAAATACACCATGGTGCATCCAACTCTCCCCATTGTTGCTATCCAGTTCTTCAGGCACAATGTTTACCAAGTCGGTAGCCACGTCGCTATTGGCACTCTCGTCGCTCGCATCACACGCTACTGCCGTATCGAAGCGTGCTTGGGAAAAGCGTAGTGAGCATGTCTTGTTACCCAGGAATGACCAGGGTTACAAAACTGCTACTGCGCCCAACAATGTCACGATCCGATACAAGAACCCTGGTATCTGCGAAACAACTCCTGGCGTAGAGAGTTATGCTGGATATGTGGATCTTGCACCTAATGTATGTTACCAGCTGACTTAGTGTTGGTCTCCGTACCTTCTTTTACACTAACAACTACATAGGTCCACATCTTCTTCTGGTTCTTTGAATCCCGTAGAGATCCTGCTTCCGATCCAGTCACTCTGTGGTTGAATGGCGGTCCTGGATCCGATTCACTTATTGGGCTCTTCGAGGAAAACGGACCTTGCATGATTGACGACAATTTTACGGCTGTGTATAACCCATACAGCTGGAATAATGTCTCTAACATGCTATACATTTCGCAGCCAGTCGGCGTAGGCTTCAGCTATCAGGCAGAGGGCGAAGGAGCTTTGAGACCGTATACAGGAGAGTTCATTCCCAACGTTAATGACTCGGATACTTCCGGAGTCTGGCCAGTTTTGGATCCATTGAACCGGGGCACGATTGATACCACTGATCTTGCGGCAGTAGGAGTGTGGGTAGGTCTCTTTGAACAGGCTCTTTTCCCACCGTACTATCTAGCTAATCACACACTGTGTATAGCATGTTTTGCAAGCACTCTTCGCCACCATTCCAAAATTTGACGCCAAAATCGGTCCTGTAAATGCATCACGAGAATTCAATCTCTATACCGAATCCTACGGTGGCCATTATGGTCCCACGTTCTACCGGTACTTTTACGATCAGAACCAAAAGATCCAAAATGGAAGCATGCCAGGCTACGAGGTCAACTTTAACAGCCTTGGTCTCATCAACGCTCTCATCGACGCAGAGGTCCAAGAAGACTGGTACCCGGAATTCGCGGTCAACAACACCTACGGAATCAAAGTCTACAACGACACGGTCTACTCGTACGCCAAGTTCGCAAACAACATGTTTGGCGGCTGCCGCTACCAGATTGGTCTCTGCCGCATTGCAGCGGGCGGAAACGGGACTTACTTCGACCCCGCCGCGCGCATCACAACGGCAGATTTGCTGCCCGGTGTAAAGGCAATTTGTAGCGAAGCAGCAAATATGTGTCGCGACAATGTTGAAGGCCCATACTACTACTATGGCAGCCGTGGCACGTACGATATCCGTCACCCGACCGATGATCCTACGCCGCCCGGTAACTTTGCATCTTACCTGAACGATGCAAAGGTGCAGGAGGCACTTGGCGTGACGGTGAATTATTCCTCGACGAACTCTGCCATCTACTATGCTTTCCAGGGTAGTGGGGATTGGATATTTCCGAATTATAGGCTCGATTTGGAGTATTTGCTTAAACGCGATGTACGGGTCAGTTTGGCGTATGGGGATGCTGATTATATTTGTAAGTTTTCCATCTCTTCATCTTCTCTTTTTTTTCCCCCTCTTTACTTGGACGTGAGGATGGATATGCTGACAGGTGATACTGTAGGTAACTGGTTCGGCGGCCAAGCAATTAGTCTGGCACTGGAATACACGCATAGCCAACAGTTCCGTGCTGCGGGATACGAGCCCCTGACTGTCGATGGTACAGAATATGGTGAGGTCCGTCAATATGGCAACTTTAGCTTTGCTCGTATTTACGAGGCCGGGCATGAGATTCCTTATTATCAACGTAAGTTCTTCTTCCCCTGTTTTATAACCCACCGTACAGAGACTTGAGAGAAAGATGCTAACATTTCAACTCGGTACAGCCGTCGCAGCCCTAGCATACTTCAACCGTACCATCAACCACTACGATATTGCTACGGGCCAGAAACCAGTCACAGCCAATCTTACGTCTTCGGGTCCTGCAAACGCAACGCACACGAATTCTTTTGTTCCGTCAACGTCGACGCAGTCGTATCCCTTTCCTCAACCGTTTCCTACGACTACGCCGACGGCCTAGTTGAGCGTACTTTATACGTATGCTTAGCTAGGCAGAGTCTTGGGAGGGGGGGGGATGAGGAGCGTTTTTTTAAGGAAATATATCTGATGATAGTAATGTGAAATGAAAATGCAATATTTGCCATGAATTCGTCGGCTTTCGGAACGTGATACTCGCATTTGAAGACATTCTATGAAGATCATAGAGTGCTAATATTCCGTTGGGGAGCTACCCTATCATATGGCTCATCATGTCCACGCCAAACGCCATGCTAAATGTCGAATAAACATTGCTACAAACTTTTTTTGTCATTACTTGTTCATTTGGTAGGAAGGGCGAATAATTGAGGCTGCATATTAATCTTGCACAGACGGGCAACGCAGCCGGAGAGTTGCAGAAGCGTCTGTACACCCTCGAGGATACGCATATGTGTGAAGCCGATTTCCTATTTCCTGTTAGCAATTGTTTTGCCTTGGATACGAGTTACAGTCGAAAAAAATACGTACCTTGATAAACTCGAGCTTCGCATGCTCACTCAAGGTATCAATCGTCTTTGTAACCTTAAACATGGTACTAATAATATCATGGCACGAATAACCCAAATCCCAAAGTTCCTTGAGCGCGGCCAACGCATCGTCAATCCGCTGCTCGTGGCACGCTTTAATCATAGACTGCACCTTGATGGGATGCGGACTATCTACGACCTTGAACACATTGTCGCCGTTGACGAAGCCAAAGCCCGCAAAAGTCGATTGCAAGTTGTTGATTGCCTGACGCATGTCTCCCTCTGCGGAAAACACAAGAGCGGCGATGCCGTCGTCCGAGTACTTGACATCTTCAGCCTCGCAGATCTGCATGATGCGGCGGACGACCTGTGCGTCTGTGAGGCGGGCGTAGCGGAGGATGGCGCAGCGGGACTGGAGGGGCTCGATGATCTTGTTTGACTGGTTGCAGGCGAAGGCGAAGCGGGTGGTTGCGCTGTAGATTTCCATGGTGCGGCGGAGTGCCTGTTGGGCACCGCTTGTCATGCTGTCTGCTTCGTCGAGGATGACTAGCTTTTGTCTGCCGGGGGGCAGTGTGACTTTTTTCTGGGCGAAGCCCTTGATGCGGTTGCGGACGACGTCGATGCCGCGCTCGTCGGAGGCGTTGAGCTCGAGGACGGCTTCTTTGTAGGCGTCGCCGAGGAGTTGGCGGGCGAGGCAGAGGATGGAGGTTGTTTTGCCGATACCTGGCATGCCGGATATGATCATGTGTGGCATGTTGCCATCCTTTGCAATGATCTTGAGGCGCTCAATGGTCTCGGTGTTGCCGACGACATCGTCGAGGTAGACGGGACGGTACTTTTCTACCCTGAACAGGCGTCAGTACATGTGACCAGGACCTCAATTCAGGTAGTCAATTACCATGGCAGCTCGTAGTTTGCGCCCCCAGCGGCATTGGGGTTGGGCTTGACAGTGTTGCTGGCAGCGGCCTTTGACGACTCGGCTTTGGACATTTTGGGACGTGGATGTCGGACGTGGAGGGGTGACGCGGGAGACGCGACGGTCTGCAGACGCGCTTTCACGGGTCTGCCGTTTCGGGACTAGTCATCACGTGAAATAGACGGCCCGAAAAGGCACGTCGACCTACACCTCGCTCGACGTTGCGGCAGACGGCGGATGCTTCAATACAAAGGTGGGATAGTCGGCGTCGTCAGTCATTGACCGCTCAGCCACGGTGGAAAATAACGCGCAATCATGTGGACAAAAGGATAGGTTGACGAATTCCAGCTGGTGTGGCGGTTCGGCGCCACCCCCATGGTTGCCGCCCACGCATGCCGGTGAATTACTGAGATTTGCGCGTGGATGTTGTTTCAAGCTCAAACGTCTTGGGAACGACAACGGTGCGGGATTTACTATCTTTGGGCAACATGTGTGACTGTGGGCAGACGAGTGCGGATGTACCTGATTCCGGGGGCGCCTTTGGGAAGACTGGGGATAACAATAAGCAAACTGCGCATTCGGTAGGCTTCGGACGGTTCAGGGACGGCGCCAAAGGCACACCTGCACCTGCCTACTGACGTACGAGGCTTGCGGAGGTGGCACACACCCTGCACCCTGCACCCACACACTCCGTACCACACACCCCATACCACACACCACCGCCATGTAGTCAGCACTGTATCCGGATCCCAGCCCGAATGCCTCAAACTTTTGTGTGGCATCATCTCCCGGTCGGCTGCTACCTTATCCCCGTCAGCAGCCAGCAGCGGGCAAGCACAGGGTTGCGAGGCGGCTCTCGATGGATCGACACACAAACTGACTGGCACAACCATGGCTGACGAGGGAGGGTTATGGCTGATGGGTGTAACAGGGCACCGCCACACCGCGCTTCTCTGATCTGAGAACAATTCATCCGTCGGCTGCTCGTAACTAGGAAAGGCCTGGCCGCTCGGCGGTTACGTGGGCAGCAGCACTACGTAAGGCAGCTGAATTCGTAACACTTCTTCTAGACTTGACCTCATCATACACGCGTCGTCATCACCCGGGCTCTAACGCCCCCCTGCGGCGTCAAAACCTCGACTGCCTGCGCGCTTCTACTTCACCCTGTCTGTGTTTCTGCTTGCTATTCACTTTGTTAACTGCCCGGCCACCCCCTGTTTCCCCCGCTTGAATCCTGCCACTGCCTTTGAATTGCCTTCTGCGCCTCAGCAGCCCGAAACGCCCTCCAAAGCCGCCGCCCACTCTTTGCGCATCAAATCTCACTCAGCCACACCAGGGGTCCTCCCCTTCCCTTGGTATACATTGGCAGAGTCCTCGGGCATTAAACCTTCAAAAAAACATCATCATGAAGTCTTCGTTGTTACTCTCGGTAACTTTAGCGTCAGCTGCGGCGGCATTAGAGTTCGTCCCGCGAGAGGTAAGTGCCACTGTTTATCTACCCCGGTTTTCAGCCTTGCGAAGCGAATCCTCCCGCACCGACGCAAACATGTTCGCTCACAACGCCCATGACAGAATCCAAAAGTAGTCCTACTCGATACACAGCGCCGCAATGTCATTAATCCAATCGCCCATGACCGGTTACGAAGACGCCAAAATACCGTTCAAGAGACGCTCGACAACCTCGAAACTCTGTACTTCGCAAACGCAAGTTTAGGTACTCCACCGCAGAACTTCCGACTACACATCGATACCGGTAGCAGCGATCTTTGGGTCAACTCAGTCAACTCAAATCTCTGTATGCAAGGCGGGAACCAGTGCGGAGAGTCGGGCACGTACAACGCAAATGAATCGTCTACATACAAATATGTCAATGGCGTCTTCAACATTTCCTATGTTGACGGATCAGGCGCATCGGGAGATTATGCCACAGACACGTTTCGTTTCGGAGGCAAGACATTGAAGGACTTGCAATTTGGTATCGGCTATGTTTCGAGCTCGACAGAAGGCATTCTCGGCATCGGATACCCCATCAACGAAGTCGCCGTGGGCCGCGCTGGCCTGGACCCTTATGCTAACTTGCCTGCAAAGCTCCGCGATGACGGCGAAATCAATTCCATGGCTTATTCCCTGTGGCTGAACGACTTGGACGCCTCGACTGGAAGCATTCTGTTTGGTGGCGTGGATACCGAAAAATTCAGTGGCCAACTGCAGACGCTGCCCATCATTCCTGAACGGGGCCAGTTTGCCGAGTTTGTCATTGCTTTGACTGGAATGGGGGAGAACGGCAACGATGGTTCTCTTTTCAAGGATGAAAACGTACCTGTTCTTCTCGACTCTGGCTCGTCCTTGATGTACCTGCCTGATCAGGTTGCCAATGCGCTGTACCAAACCTACAACGCCCAGTATGACTCCTCGCAAGGTGCTGCCTTTGTCAACTGCGACCTGGCCAACAAGCAAGGCTCGGTCGACTTTAATTTCTCCGGCGTCAAAATCTCTGTTCCGCTCAATGAACTCGTTGTCCTTGCCGCCGTCAGCCGCGGACGGCCCATCTGCATTTTCGGAGTTGGCCCAGCCGGCAACTCCCTAGCCGTCCTCGGAGACACCTTCCTACGCTCTGCATACGTCGTCTACGATCTCGAGAACAATGAAATCTCCCTCGCACAAACAAACTTCAATGCTACCGCGTCAAACGTCCAGGAAATCAAAAAGGGCACTGATGGCGTTCCCAATGCCAAGGATGTTCCTAATGCGGTGTCCACGGCTGCGATTGGCACCGGTGGACCTAGAGTTAACGGCCCTAGCATCACCGGGACAGTCTTACAGTCTCCTAGTGGTGCTGCTCCACCAGCCGCAACCGCAAATCCTTGGATCAGCGGTGCTGCCATTGCCGGTGCTGGTATCATGATGGGCTTCAATGGCTTCTAAGCCTGCTATTCTCCACCTATTTCCTATTTCTCTTCTCCTTGCAATTCTTTTGGTTGTATAACAAAGTCATTCGTTGCATATGCATCAAACGCGTTATTGCAGATGGAAAAAAGGCGCTACAAACTGCATTTGGTTTCATTTGTTTTTCGGGTTGTGCAGGAAAGGTTAGCATATATTCCCCCCACCTTGGTTTGTTGTATTGGTTTTAAGCGAGTGTGTCGATCTGCTTGGACGGGTTGCACGCAGATATGATTATGAATGTAATGATTGTTCCGGCTTCTATACGACGTGCCCGTCTGCTATTCTACTTGTGACTGTTGCTTTGTCGGTGTAGGTAATCATTCTGTCGTAAGGGATGACGCCGCTTAGTATACTCAAGGTCGTGCTAGAATGATTCGACCGGATATCGCTATTTGAACCTTCTAAGGCAACCGAGACAGTGTTCCCATGCATGGTTAATTATACTGTTTGGGCCAAGTCAATCTGTGGAGATATAACACTGCACAAGCTTTCTGCCAAGTGACATGCTACATTCAGAATCCCATCATCGGATTATTCGACCCACCGTCTATGTATGTGTTCATTTACTTTCCCAGTGCTCTACTGCGTTTGGTATCCAACCAACTCTATATTTTGCATACATTTCGATGGGAAGTTATTTTAGATAGGTCTAAAGTAACACGGCGTGTGAATGGGTGTAGAATGCATTGAGAACAGAGAGAGAGAGAGAGAGCAGATGATGCCTCCAACTGAGATAAGCTCCCGCTTTTTTCTAACTCTAGGGACGGATACATCCGTCTCACATAAGGCGGGTGGCTGAGAGAACTTTGCGTAGATCTATGACCCCATTTACACAACACATGCATGCAGACACTGCTATATAGTCTCCTACCCTCGCACGATCTACGTAGTCTATTCCAACTAAATACTATTCGACATGCTAATGTTATCTGAATTAGACCACTCGTCCTATGCCTGACGTTCCTGTGTAGGACTCTATACTTATTATCTGCTGTCGGCCATACGAGTAAGCTGACACGGGAACAACCCAAATTGTCCCACACGGCCCGATAGATGGTCAAGGAGTCGATCTACAATACGAAGAGAATGCGATCATGAGAGATCGGATCTTGGCGCATCGACAGTCCTCCACGTGCGAAATTAAAACGAACGACGCCTGTGCACAGGATGGGATCGAAACCGGGGATACAAGGATAGCGATTACGATGCCAAGGTCTATCTGCCAGGTACAGTCTCCTGTTGGCAGAAACAATGTGGAAAAATATAAAGGGTTCTTTAATGCATTCAAAGCCTGGTCAACAGATTGAAGATTTACATACTGTTTCGCATCTTACCTTTTACTAGCAGACCAGTAGCACTCTACAAACTCATCTCTGCCTCTGCACAACTATTACGTCACATCGAAATAACACAGCTACATTACAGATACCATCAACTTTAGAACCCCCGTGACAAGAATTACGACTGGTGGTATTAATTACAGAAAATACTTGGTTGTAGCGATAGATCGATATCCCGATATTGTGGTACCACAAGTAATCCCCCGCATAAGCTTGCTGACACTGATTCCCTTGTCTAGCTTAGTCGCCGCACACACACACACACACCCTTGTACTGCCTGAATTGCGTCATGCGTCGGGTGTAATACTGACCTACTTCGGTGTTCCTTCAGTTTGTACCCTTGTTCAATTGGGAAACCTTCATATTTCTGACTTGTAAACTTGTATTCAATCTTTTTTTTATTCTTGCGGTACTTTTTTTTTGGGGGGGGGGGGGGGGGAGGGACAAATGAAGATACAGATATAACAAACAAGTTTTTTTTTTGTTTTTGGATAAGACTAAAACTCTCCAAAGTATATTTATGGAAAGATGGATAAAAAGAGAGCGTTTCAGGAATTTCCATCTCAGTGAAGGGGGGGAGGGAGCAAACAGCAGTGTACCATGTTCATCGCTAACGACCGTATATCGGTCAGTTTAAGATATATTCATAAATACGCATATTCATTATCTATGTACAAAAAGTGACTGGTAAGCTCGAATCGAAGCCCATTCCAAATTATGCATATAGTAGGACTCATTGAATCTCAGCCCACCCTTTACACCAACAAACACTTACAGGAAGTAAGCCGCAGCACCAATAAGAGCAACAACCTGTCCAGCACCAATTTGCGCAGCAGCATTACCAGTCTGCTGAGGCGCCTGGCTAGCAGACGAGGCGGCAGAGGGGGCGCGAGAAGTAGCTCCAGAAGTGGTAGTAGTGCCGGAGACGGCCGCAGCAGGGGGAGCAGTTGGCTCAGCGACACCAGAGGGGCAGTGCCAGTGGTCGCCGTGGGGTTCGCATGTGCTAGCCGTCGCCACGTGATCATCATCGTGGTCATCGTCGTCGTGGGAGTGAGTTGAAGAAGGAGTAACTAGCAAGGTTCCAGAAGAAGTCCTGGAGGCGATTGCAGACGCGGGAGTCGAGTCCTCGGCGGCTTCTGCAGCAGAGAAACTGGAGAGCTGCTCGGGAGTAGGGGGTGTAGTGGGTTCTGGGACGCCGTCGGCGCAGTGCCTTTGTGGAGTTAGGCTTTTCTTTGTCACTGCGGCATCGTGAGGGGAATTGGCTTACCAGTGGTCGCCGTGGGGTTCGCAGTCACTGGCAGGAGCAGAGACGGTGTCTTGAGCGATGACTGCTGCGGCCGCAGCGAGGAGGAGGGTGATTGAGAATCTCATGTTGACTGTGTAGTAATGACTAGGTTTGACTGTTCGAGTTGAACTTGTATATCTAACGAAAAAGGTGTCAAGCAATTCGAAGTCTATTGTCTCATACAAGGTAGTAAAGAGAGAAGAAATACCTCAGCACCTATGGACCGAAAGTTTTATATCCCCTCTGTCGGGTGGCATATACATTGCATGCCTGGGCGCAGAGCCAAGGCGGCGAATTGCCTTGGCAAAGGACATCGGGGTACTCAGGTTCCGTAAAAACTCTAGAAAACTTGCTCGGCAGGGTTACTGGCTTGCGGAATGTCGCACTGAATAGGCTGATTTACCGAGTGTGACGCTGTGGTACCATGGCGGAGACTGTTGGGGTCGTCTTGCTGCTTGGCGCGTGGGATGAGGCGGTGGATGAGTGGAGGTGGTGTCGACAGGACATGAAAGCCGACCGTGTATTCGGAAGGAAATGTAGAAAAACTGGGGGTAGCCAAGGCAAGATCAGATAATTGGAGAAATTCCGGAAAGGTCTGCACCGCTGAGCCTCCAGTGCATGGTCGATTGAATGTCACCAAACACTTGGCGCACATAGCCATACCGAACACTCAGCAGACCCTGACGAGAGTTAGCTCGTAGAAACTGAGGGAAACTTGAGAGCTAACGCAGGTACCACCGAAAAGCCATCATTGTGCCCGCTTTCTGATCAGTCAGCAGTCTGCTCGTATTCAGTTCTGCACGAATAGTTACCACAATCAATAAGGTTAGGTTTCTTCATCTTCAAAATGGGTTATGATTCCCGGGGACCGTGTAGTTACTGCGGGGTTTAAATATCTAGGTAGGACCGACTTCATGTCCGTATTCCTGTCACTTTGGTCTTAGAGTAGGTCTACGCTACATCCCCTTGGGATATCGTCATGCATTATGCCAGAAGTCTAACAGATTGACTAAAAGAAAAGGCTGTAAACCAAGTAGAGAACTTTCAGTGAAACTGCTTTTATTGTGGTGAATTAGGCACTCCGACATGGAGTCTCCTCCAAAGAAGAGAATGCAAGCGCGTCTGGTAGCATCTAAGAGGTTGGCTAGTGCTCGGATAGACGCGATAGCTGAATAAAATGAGACTAGCTCAGAAGCCTTCGTTCCCCAAGCTCCTGAAATAATCCGGGGCGACGTTGCGACTGGCTAGGTCTATCAGGGCACGATAGTTCACGTGTATGGGGTATAAGGATATCCCGCTCATACCTAATAAAGCTTAGCAGGAAATAGGCTCGATACCTACTATACATCTGTGTCTCGTTTTCAGGCTTCCATCATTACGATTTGAGTTAATATCAAGATGGAAAAAATTGTTCTAGTCAACCAAACTTCTCAAGACAAATTCGACGTGAAATTTTCGTAGCATTTTGCAATGTCCCCTCTATACTGACTTTTTCGTGTAATTACAAAATGAGTAAATGTTTTTTTAACAAACGCCATATCGTAGAATCTACGCTCCATATAAGAAAAAAAAGGTAGCGTATTTCTTTCGCGCCTGCGCGAAACTTAATGCAAACCGCTCTCGCCAGTCTCAGCCATGTGCTTCTGGCAGTCAACCATGATTTTCACCATTTGTGAAACCTGCTCTAGGCGGCCAATGACCACCTTGTTGCCCTCGACAAAGCCGTAGCAGTGGCACTTGATACCCGTCTTTGCTGAGAACTCGCGGACCAGCTCTTGGCCTCTGCGAAGGTTGTGACGCGGAACACGGGGAAAGAGATGGTGGACGGCTTGGAACTGCAGGCCACCGTGGAACCAGTCGAGCCATACCGGGCATTCAACATCCATGGTAGTGCGCATTTGGCGTTGCGGGAAAGACTCGGTGGGGCCAAGATCGGAGGTGGGCATTCCCCAGTGGGAGAGGGTGATTTGGACGTGGAGAACCATGGTGACGAGATGCGAAATCAGGACAAAGCCAATGCGGATTGGCCATGTAGGGAGTGTGACCCAGACAAGGAGGTAGCCGAAAAGATACCAGTAACAGCACATGAAGACAAGCTCGACGTGGCGCGTCCACCATGCTGCACCTAGTTGAGCCGCGCGAGGTGAGCACAGATGTACCCAGCCGAGGAAGTACAGATTGAATCGTGCCAATCCCATGATCGGGTAGTAGAGGTACTTTTGGTAGGGAACCAAGAAATCGCATGCGGCATCCCATACAAACTGGAAGTTGTAGAAGGAGGAAAGGATGGACTTCATATAGGTAGGAGATGTGGAGAATAGAGGGATGTTCTGGATATCCGGGTCGTGCTCGGGCATGTTGGTGATGAGATGGTGCACGTTGTGGCTGGATTTCCACCAGCCGATGCTAAGGCCGCAGCAAAAGTCTGCAATGAAAGCACCGATGAGAGTGTCAACAACGAAATTTCCTGTGATTCCGCGATGACCGGCGTCATGTGCTGTGAACATGATTTGTTGCTGCGGATGGGTTAGCGTTTGCTGATATCGAGTGGAAACTGCAATTCATACCCAAAACAGACCCAGGAAGATGGCCGATGTAAGGTACCACTTGATGTACAGTAGACCGGCAAAAGAGGCGAAAAGGAAAGCGTATCGTATCGACTCTTTGGCGTATTCGGAGTAACGACATTGGTAGAGACCTTCGTCCTTGATCTGTTGATGCAGAGCACGGTAGTCTTCGATAATGGCCCTTTGCGTCTCGACGTCGAGCGAAGGGTTTTCGCGGATGCCTTGTTCTATTTCTAGCTTTTCTTGCTCAGTGGCATACTGCTCGCGGTGCCTCCTCTTCTCTTCCTGGGCAGTGATGGTCGCTGTCTCGGCATCCTCTTCAATTAAAGAAATCTTTTCCGGGTCACTAGCAGGCCTGCTGCTTGGTCTGAATACACAGGTGTCTGATTTCCCGATCAATTTTTTGCTAATGATAGCGGCGGCCTTGGTTGCATGTCAGTCCAGCTCGATATAAGAGTAATAGATAGAAATAGAACCCACCGATCCCAAGTCGACGCTTTTGCCGCGTCGTTGCCTCTCAAACTCAGGAGCGGCGCCTACTCGCTTCTTCTCTTCCAGATTCTTGTAGTAGTTGGGCGAGCGAATTGGAGGCTCGAGGTTGGCCCAAGGCAACTGGACACGACCAATGCGATGCTTTGTCATCATGAGCAGCGCCCTATTGGAGTGGTAGCTGGGGTCAAGTCAGCCTATGATCGACGCCGAGATGCTTACACAACCCTCCCGCAGCCATCCGGCCACATGGTGTGACCGGACCATCGGCAATAGTTGTATCCGATGGGACTACGGTTGGTGTATATTAGGACGGCGTCTGCACTACATACATGTTGATTTCATCGGTCGCATCTCTGCCCACCATGTGCAGGATGGCGAGACGGCCACCCGGATGCTTGTCAATCCATTCTCCAAGATTTAGGACGTAGCCCTCGTGAATTACAATCGGTTCGCCTTGGGCAATTTGTCGCTCGATTTCGCCAGGGGCAATGATCCTGTGTCGCGACATTTTTCTTTCTTTGGCGCTGGTTGGGGATGGTAAGAGTTGGCGGGCGTGCTAATCAGTGGGACAGCAGGATATATATCGAGACGGCAGACCGACTATCCTTCCGCAAAACCAAGGAGAGAGAATCAAAGCCTTTAGGGAGACATGCCGCCCGCGCCGTGTGCACGGGTCATGGCCCTGGCACCTTCTGGAGCGTTTCCATCGAAGGGGGCTGAGTTGCGGTACACGAGTCTACCGACAAGCGTATTGCACGCGAGAGAGGGGCATGTGCCAATGGCTTGAAACGCCAACAAAGGAGAGGCTCAACGCGTCGTAGCATGGCCCAGCCGAAGGACGTGGAGGCTTGCGATGGACCCGTTATGGCGCGCGTGCCGAGCGCAGGACGGTTCTCTAGGAACGCTGGGGCCTGTGGAGGCGAATTACAATCTTGCACAAGCGGAGACCAATTTTGCGGCGGCCTGGCGCAGACAGCCACGCACATGCACAGCACGCCTCGAGCAGCGAACGGGCTCGCTCTAGGCAGGTCCCAGGAGGCACAATCTCTGCCAAGCATCTGGAGGACCCCGACATGGAGGCGAGCCGGCCCAGTCAAATTGAGTGCATTCACTGCCAAGGCCGGACGACCCAGATGCGACCTAGTTATCACGATTATCCCAATGCCATGGACGGGAACGTCACGTCACCCCGCAACAAGCGACTGTTCGGGCTGGCGTCGCAGGGTCTGGATCGCGCGCGCCGAATCAATCCCATCATGACAGTCGGCCCTCTTTTTCTCCCTCTACATATGTATGCTCACTTACACACTTCACCCTTCAAACGACCACGATGCCATGTCACACCAGGCGCACGCGGGACGGCCGCTGCCATACTCCCCGACGGTTACTTGCACACACCCCTATTGACAGCGCCACACGCACACACACACACACATTGCCACCTCGTACTCCGCCAAGCAGCACAATTCCACCACTTATCTGTCCCGTCCACAAGCGCAAACGAAAAGGAGTCGCGGTAGCGACCCTAGTTCCAATCGCGTATCGATCCCCATACGCTATAACCAGACTGGCTCCACATGTCTGAGCCGCGCGTATTCGTACCACTCGCCTCTGACCTTGTCGACCTCATGTGCCTAACACGTGCCCTTTCCAACGATTATCAGCATGGGCGGCCATACGGCTTTTAAACAGCGGGTCCTTGCCCCCCTCGTCCCCTCCCTGGAATTGCAGATCAAACGTTGCTTCCCATAAAGTTGGCCGAATGTAATACCGCACTGACACCTGGCCCCTTCGCCCCGTAGGAACATGCAAGCTTTCCGTTATCCATCTATTGCACAGATTGCTATCGACAAGCAGCCGCCCACTGATTAAGGGAGCATGTCGGTGGAAACGGAGTTTTTTTTTTTCGATAAAACATAGTTCCGTATCAGCGCGGCCCTACTGCTGTGCCGAGATGGGTTACTCCGAAAACAGCGCCCCTCTCGAGGGAGGCTGTGAGACTGATCACACACAACCAGTGTTGGAGGCTTGCGTATTGTGCATAGGCGCACACGCGTACACACATAATGGGTATGTGGGTGCATGTTTCGAAACATGCTTTTTGACAGCGTGATGAGCCACAGCACAGCACTAGGCGAAGAACTAGCAATACACTCCAATAGTACGGAGGTCGTGTACACGAAAATAGTTAACTTTGTGCCATGCAGTTTCCATCACCAAAGATGGCCAACTGCTTATCGGAGTGTATCGAATTACGTTCAGGGGATAGAAACCTTTTCCAAGGGGGGATAATAGATTGCATCTTATCCTGCTACCCCGCCACAAGAACCCAAATGCCTGAGCAGACACAATTGCCATGAGTACTTCCGGTGGTTCGGAAGACATGCGCTATTTGGACGGTGGAGCTAGTAGAACAAGCTCACCCTCGTGGTGTGCTTAACTGCGCGTTATCAAAGACTAACGTAAGCTCTCATGTCGTCTCACGACCAGACCATATCGGCCGTTGGCGTACCAGAGATGACAAGGGCAGATGTCAAGCAATCGTATTGGATCGTATTGAATGAACCCTTTTTTTACCCCGTTGCCAAGAAGCATATTTTGATCGTCCGGCATTTCGGACCTATGAATAGCTTCCGCGTGAGATGTCGACAGCCGGAGAGACTAGGAGCCTCTGCGAAGTGCACTATGTAGACTAGATGCTCACCTGAGCAATGGTTACGGGAATAACTATACCGAGGTGGGTTAGTGTGGTTGCAGAGTCAAAACATTTTTGTTGGAGCACGACTTGTACTCCAACTCCACGTGAATATTACTCATCTGGCTGCGGGCTTTGCACATGTCATTCATAGTAACTTAGTGCGAATGCAAAAGAATAATCTTTTAAGGTAAATGGACCCTGAACTGTATACATTACGGACCAAAGAAAAAATGAACAACGATACGTAAAAATTGTGTATCCCGCGCTCAAACAACAATCTCAGCAAGGTCAACCATGTCACCCTAAACTTCTACCACCCTTGCACGTGCAAGGCTATCCGCGACCATTGACCTCCACTCACAACTCCTCCTTATCCTCATCATCAAAATCCAGATCAACATCCTTAATCGGATCCCTCTCCGCATCCCTAATCGCCCTTTCAAACTCCTCGGCCTCCTTGGGACTACTCTCAAAGAGATGCTCCTTGACCAGTCTCTGCGGCGTCTCCCCGAGCCACTGGAACAAGCTAAAGTCCTGGAACTTGTCGGCACGGAAGATCTCGAGCACTTCGACGTCTTCCTCGTCAGACAGGTTCTCGATGAAGTGGCCCATGTTGCGTGGGATGACGCCGACGTCGCCGGCTTGGAAGTCAAAGGTGCGCGCAGTGCCTTTGGCAGCGAAGATGGTGACACGGGCGCGCCCGGCGATGAAGAAGGACCATTCGTCTGCGTTGGCTATGGGGGGAAGGATGTGTTAGTCTTTCATTTTAGACAAAAGGAGGGAAATAGGGAATTATGGTGACTTACGGTGCCAGTGCATTTCGCGGATCGCTCCAGGTTGGATTCTCAGGTGGGCAGCAGCCACCGTTTTGGAGATGGGGAAGTTGGTTGAGTCTGTGATGCGCACTTGGCCGCCAGTCGTGTTGACGGGCTCCTGAGCGAGCATCTTGTGGGTGAATTGGAGCTTGGACTTCTTGTAGCCAGGGCTGGCGCTGGGGACCTCCTTGTCAATGGGACCGGGCTCGGAGCCCTTGAAGATGTACTTCTCCTTGTCAGGAATGGCTTTGAAGACTTCGGGGGCGACGCGGAAGTTCTCGCCAAGGACGGACTTGGGGGTCAGGCGCATCCAGTCTGTGAGCAAGAAGGTGGAATCTTCGGAAAAGTTGCCGTCGTCGAAGACGAGGAGGAACTCGGTGCCGTTGGGGCTGAGACCTTGGAGAGAGTGAGGGTGGCCAGATGGGAAGTACCACAGGTCACCCTTTTCGAGGTCGTCGACGAAGCTGCCGCCTTCGGTGTCGAGAGCGGTGATGCGGACTTTGCCCTCGAGCACGTAGGCCCATTCGGCTTCCTTGTGCCAGTGGAGCTCGCGGATGACGCCTTCTTCAAGACGCATGTTGACACCGGCGAGCTCCTTGCTGGTACCTAGCTCGCGGACAGTCGTCTCTCGCGTCCAACCACCCTCCTCAATGCGGATATGCGAGTCGGCAAAGGACCAGCGCATGTTGGGGATCGCGCCATGGTCGGTGCTAGGAGGACGGACGAGATCTGGGTTCTGGCGTTCACGGTCGCGGTTGCGAGGGCCCAGGACGCTTGCTCCGTCGTCATTTCGCTGTTATAGTGGTTAGTGGTCTTCGTGGATACATGTCAAACATTTATACTCACGTATGGCAGCGGCTGAAGCTTGTCGCCTTGAGAATCGACCTTCCTGTCATAAGGATCATTCACGCCCGGCCTATACGGGTTGGTTATCTTGTGAGGCCCAGCATGGTGTCCTGCATTGCCAGGCAATGGTACTTGTTGCTCCAATGGAGCCGCAAGAGCACCGCCATAGCAGCTGAGCGCAACCAGCAACGACGAAAGATGCATAATGGCTTGAAGAGAATGAATTGAGAGCCAATGCTGAAGAGAATGGCACACAAATTTTTTCTCTTTCAACCGGAAAACGCGTGCCTTTTGATGTCGCCGGCTGGCATTGCGCGTCGACCAGTGCCGTACTTCCGATGACGCCATGAATACCTTGAGCTAAACATCACTCATCACCATGCATCAACGCGCACACGCCAATCCACGATTTTTCCACAACTCTCGACCCGCCTTTCAAGCATTTCCCCGCACGCACATCGCTATTGCTTGTACATGTAAAACACGCCCTCGCTTCGTAAAAGGAAGGTTGCTGCCCACGTTACACCGGTCAGCCACACTTCTTCCTGCGTTATCCTGCAATTGCCGGCCTCTCCGCGCAGCTGAAGCTTGGATAACCTTGACCGAAGCTTGAGTCTAGGTTCCTGAAATCGATCTGCATAACCGCCAGCCGGCTTCCCGTCCGTGCCGATAACGTTCAAGCAAGCAAGAAAAAAAACCTGGAAATTTGGCTCTTCCAAGACGACATAAAGCTATCAACCAGTGCCGTTGCTTCCGCGCCTTGTTTTTCAAGGATCAACCCCAAGATCCGACATATCACCGCCCTCTTTCCCTTCCCCATTCTCCCTCCCTCCCCTCCCTCCCCTCCCTCACTATCTCTCTCTCTCGCTCGCTCTCTCTATCCGGAACCTCCCCCCACGCGCAAGCAAGCGCCCAAACAATGAGCACCAACGCACCACACAGCACCGTCACGCGCAGCTTTGCAGACGAAGAAACTCCTCTTCTCGGCCGAAATGGCGCCGACGGCGGAAAGTCGGATGCACACGCCACGCTGCACCGCATGAGGCGCTACATGCAGACCAACGTCAACAGAAACTGGGCCGATGTAGTCTTGATCCTGTGTTACATGATTACAGGGCTGCTGGATAGCTCGGCCGTTTTCATCTGGGGCTCGTTTGTGAGCATGCAGACTGGTGAGTTTGTACATGCATACCTTTTTCTTTTTCCAAACACTTTCTTATCTACTATTACCACGACTCACATCGTCTCTTGAGACGTTGATCGAGCATGTTACATGACTTTTTACACTTTCTATCTACTACTATCACTACTCATTCCCATTCGTCTCTTGAAACACAACACAACCATACTCATGCAAGTAAACAGGAAACACCGTCTACCTAGGCCTAGGCATCGTCGCCCCCTCCGAGGGCATCCGTTGGATCAAAGCCGGCATCTCAATCGCCGCATTCTGCGCTGGTTCCTTTTGCTTCGCACGTTTCCATCGCTACTTCTCCCCTGCAAAGCGCTGGGTACTAATTGCCTCGTACTCCTTCCAAATGCTACTTATTGTCTTCGCAGCGACTATTACTACGTTGGGCAAGCATACGGGTGAAGGTCTGCACTGGCAGGTCTTGCTGCCGCTCGCTTCGGTTGCGTTTCAGTCGAGTGGGCAGGCGGTTACGTCGCGCGCGCTCAAGTATAATGGACTGACGAGTGTGGTGCTGACGAGTAACTACTGCGATTTGTTTTCTGACCCGGAGCTGTTCAAGATGTCGAATGTCGAGCGGAATAGGAGACTGGGTGCGCCGCTTGCTTTGGTCATCGGGGCTTGCATGGGTGGCCTCTTTGCGCATAGCAGTGTAGGTCTCGCAGGCTCCCTGTGGACTGCGGCGGGACTGAAGCTGTTGGCTGTTTTTGCCTGGACGTTGTGGAAGTCGGAGAAGATTGAGGAGTAAAGTATGGGCATGGGCAAATCTTCTTCATGCCGAAGAGGCTTGAGAATCTCTACTGACGGGGGACTGAATTGTACATCTCTGACGCTGATTAGAACTGGCATCCAAGTGTGAAAGCTTGTATGCTGGGTATTAGAGTGGACCGCATGGCACATCCTTGGTCCTTGTTAGACATTTCATGTCGACGATAACGTTACATTAGATAACTACAGATTGTTAGTTTAAAAGAGACTAAAACTCTTGAGTTAACACTCTGAGTTCAAAAACCCCCCAACCTGCCCCCAGTAATACCATGAATACTCCACGTGATGGAAAAGAGAAAACAGCCCTCCCTACACAACCAACTCCTCCAAATCAGGCGACTCGCTCTCCCTCGGCTTCGACAACTCAAAGCTCAACACCGTATGATCCATGTAATACATGAGAATACGCCATCGTCTCGGCAGGCGCACACCCTGCTCCCGCTCGGCACTAGCATCTCCACCTCCCGGACCATCAAACAAGCCCTGGACCGGCGAAACCGCGACACCAATCATGCGTCCAATCGGCGCGCCCGAAATCTGATTTTCATTCTCCTGTTTAAAAGGCAGCAGGTATTCAAGCTTGAAGCCATATCGTCTGTGCACACTGCCTTCGTCCCTCGTCCAGTAGAGTGAGAAGATGGCCGCACGGCCGATAGGCGATCCGACGATGAAGATGCCCAGTTCGGGGATTTGAGAGAAGTAGCAGTGCCGGTCTTGGGTTGCGAGCGATGGTATCCACTCGCCGGGATGCAAGGGGCGTCGCATGGATACAATGCGACTGGTTGTACTCTTCGTGTCTGGTACAAAGGGGCGTTGGACGAGAAAGAACTCTTCTTTTGTAAGAATCAGAAAGGGTTTGTCGAGATCTCTTCCTTCAGCCTGCGACATGTTAGATTTACGTCTTTGATAGTTAAATAGGAGGGCAATGCGTACGAGATACTTGGCACTTTCAGAATAGTTTATTGCGCAATAAGGTTTGAAGCCTGTGTCGTAACTGGATTGTATTCTGCCAGGAGCAATCATGTTGAATATCAAGTCTGGTAGATCCTGCGGGTTTTGGTGTCCCTGTACGATGTTCTGGAGAGCCAGCTGTGAGGTGTCAGTATCTATTGTATCTTCAAGGACAAGCCCAGCCGAGGAGACGCTGGCGATCCCCACTTACCACTTGAGCCGGTGCCAGACTTCCTGGAACGTAAGCAAGTGGCTGGACCCCTTGTGTCTGACCTTCCATAGAATCTGTATCCTCTTCGTCTAGGTCACTCTGTTCGTCCTCGCTTTCACTTGGCTCCATGTACGGGATGCATGGGTTGAGAGCTGCAACCCCAAATCTCTTTTTTTGAGCAGTCGCATCCCGAAAGCTTTGTGGCTCATCTTTGATTTTCAACTCATCTTCTTCTGCGGGTGGTAAGTAGTATGCTGATGTCGTATCCAGTGCTATTGTGCCCCAAGCTCCGTGCAGCACGCTTGAAGCAGCCGGGCAATTGCATGTAAACCCTCGTGCTTCATAGCGAGGAGTGGAGTTCAGGTTCTCGGCGCTTCTGCACCATCCCATTTGGTAACTAGCTGCTTCCTTCCTCGTATGAAGATCCCATAGTATTGTCTTGCCATTGATGCAGCTACTCAAAAGCCAACGTCCAGAACTGCCGTAAAACGACAATGATGGTAGGTTGTTTGTGGTGGAAAGATGAAAGATGGTCTCGTTCCGTCTACAGAAAGGAGACTGGGAGGTAGATTTTGAAGGCTCATGAGTGTCACTATCTGAGTTCTCTGAGCTCTCTGATTCTTCAGTCTGATCTACGAGCGCGTACGCAATGACAGTGATTCGATACGTGTTTGCGCTAATAGCAATGATCCGAGCCTCTCGATGCACAGCTAAGCCCCATGCGCTAGCGCCAACGTTTTGATGGAGGAAGATGTGAACGTCATCCTCACTAGCAGGCTCATCTTGATCGCTTTGTCGTTGCAAAGCTCGGTAGATTACTTCAGTGCGATAGCCAATTACATCGCCATCATCGCAGGTAACAAGAAGAATTTCTTCGTTACCAAGGTATTCAACAAGAACGCGGTTGATGGAATGAGGCTCCCAAGGATCGATACCCTGCCCTCGATGACCAGTCTGGGGTGGATGAAGGGCAAGGCTGGGCTCCTTAGTCAAGCTTTGATCCGGAAAACCTGGTTGATAGACGTGTAAAATATCTGTGGCGGCAAGAAAGTACAGGTTGTGCCGTTGCGAGAACGCGGTCAAGTCGCAGCGCCATGCACACAACAATGGTGCTGGCGTGTGAGGTTCGAACTATTCCAAGTCAGCATGTTGGTACTTCTGATCAATAAGGCATCGCTGTTACTATAGAAATCAAGAAAGGCATACAAAATTCTACATTCAAAGTCTACTGCAATTTGTTGATCTTATGGATTCAGGGCCCTTCGTAGCTGACGGACGGCTACAGCAAGAGGACGAGAGACGCTCAAACTCACCCGACTGCATCCACGATGCTCCCCTGTTGGCATACAAGTGACGTGTTTCCTCATGTTGTATGCTGCATTCCTACTTGCAGGGAAAGTCTTAGCTTAAAGTGTGTTGCCGAAGGTGAATTGAACCACTTTGGCCGTTTGCTTCCGTGACGTGAACTGGCGCTGAGCGCCGTCTCCTGATTGGACCCCGCGCGTTGCTGGTGCACCAAACTTAGTACCCCACAGGCTTAGTGCAGAATAGTCAACCAAACTAACTATAGTGCATTGATGACCAAATCACTCTCCATGTGTAGATGTGGAAAGAAAGCAACAACACTTTAGATACGCAAAATTCTTGCCGTCTCAGGCATCATACTCTTATTGTGCTAATAATTCCATAGCAATGTAAACCGGTAATGGTACCCTGCCGTGTGATATCAAAAGTTCAAGTGTCCGAGATCGCCCTCGAGACATTTGCATAAATTCTAGACTAATCATACCGCCCGCCAGATCAATTACCCAAACGCCGTCTAATGCTTCGCGGTAACCTTGTCGCCAGTGAGTTTCTCAACAGCCTCCTTGGCGCTATAATATCGTTAGTAAACATACGTGATTGGGATAAGGAATAGAAACATACACATCACCCAAAGCAACCATGCAAACCGTCTGCCAAACGCCAAGTCCGATTCGGGGAGTAACACCACGGTAAAGACCCTTGATACCATTGTTCGAGTAGATGTACTTGAACGCCGAGGCAACGTTCAGGTTCTTGGGTCGGTTGGGGTCAACAGTCTTGGACTGGAGCTCCACGCGGATAACCTCAATGGGCTGGTTCCACGCGCTCAAACCACCACCGAGAGCCGAGGCAGTGATTTTCTCAATTACGCTCAGCTTCTCGCCATGCTCCTTGTTGGTAACCTTTCGGATACCAGTCTCTGCGACACGGGACAGACCGAAGCGGGAACCCCAGTTAGTTACCTGGCGCACTGCGACGGCATTGACACCACGGTTAATACCGCGGATACCCTCAGTGCGCCAGATCTGCATGAAGGTTTCCAAAGTACCCGGGGGCTTTGCGCCGGTGGCAGCGACCTTGTGTTTTGTAATCTCGACTGTCTTCATGCAAGTGCAGAAGCCCATAGTGGCATAGGCCTGTGCAAGACCACCCGTCATTCCTCCGGAGATACCGGCGAGAAAGTCGGGCGCACCAAACGACTTAGCGTAGTATTCGGCTTCCGAAGCAACGAACAGGAGGACGGCTCCCTTGGTGGAGGCTTCGATCCAGGCCCACGGAATGAGACCCTGGTAGACTAGAAATCATGCTTGTCAGATAGTGAGTAAGGCCAATGGTGGTATGAAGACTAACAGCCAAGAACACCTCCACGGGCCCAAATGCGGCCAATAGCACCCGAGAAACCTTCAGACCTGTTGGCAGCCATGGTGGTTTTGACAACCTCCAACGGCTATTCTCAATTGTCAGCGTGGCCCTGTTTCGAGATATGGCTGGGGGCTGCATACCTGTCCCAGAGTTGTTACTCTGCAGTTCTGTCAGTATAGATTCCGCGAAGCCTGGCATCAAGGTGGGCTGTGTACTCACTCGAACATGTTGAGACCAGCACCGACTGTGGGCTACAATCAGCATACATTCCCGGACACCAATGCGCCCTGGAAAACTCACGCAACAAATTGCTAAACTTGACCGGCTTCTTCTCGAGTTTTGGCGCAGCGCTGGCAACGCCAGGCGTGCCGGTTATAGGCTTGGAACTCATTCTCTGGGGGTTTGTTGTCGAAGATATGGGGCCTGACCAAGGCAAAAGGGTGCTCCGTCGCAAATATGAGTGATATCAAGTGTGTAGGAAATGAGATGAAGGTGCAGCATGAAAAAAGACGATATGAACTTGCAAGGTGGTCTGTGTTGCTTGTTGACCGCCGACCGGCGCTATAACTGGGGTCGTTCCTGAAGCTATCGGGTTCTTGGCGCACGAGCGATCCCACCCATCTTTGGCCCTTTCCGCGCCCGCCTTCCCGAGAGAGGGGTGGATTTACTTTTGCGGCGTCGAGCACACACTGCGCCAGGTTGATCCTTTGAATTTAAACTCCCCTTTCCACTTTGCTGCAAAAAAAAATGGCACCAATTGTACCTGAACACGGTGCAACATGTCGCCATCGGCTATCGGATTCCGTAGCAGGTGGCTGGCTCAGCCCAACAGTCCGTATCGGTTCCCCATCGCTCAGCGAGAAACTCCAGGGCCGCGGGTGTACCCCGGTGTTCCGGTTAGTTTTCTTCTTAGATTGTCTTCTGCTCTGCCCCCATTGGATGGGTTTGACACTTTCGGTGCTTTTTGGAGTAATTCCGCGGCCTATGCCCCGTTACAGTCAATATGCTTGTAGGAAGTAGGAAGCTATGGGGATTAAATATATCTTCATCAAGACGTGGCATTACAGTAGGTCGCTCACTTGGAAAATGAGTGAGTTGCGATGGCCGCCATGGCGCTTCCTTTCATATCTTTACATTTCATAATTTACAAGGGACTAGGTATCTCTGAATCTCAAGTAAACTCCTCCACATTTTCAAGACTCTAGAACACGAAGTAATGACGTGCTTACAGCTGAGCGCCAACCAGCTTGGCATAAGCCTCTGTGCTGAAGGACTTGGGCCTCTCAATGGGGGCGCCGACAGCACGGTCAATGATGAGCTGGGGAAGGACTCCGAGAGCACGGGAGACACCGAAAAGGACGGTGTAGTAGTTCTGCTCGGTAAGGCCGTAGTACTGGAGGAGGACACCAGAGTGGGCGTCGACGTTGGGGTATGGGTTCTTGGTCTTGCCGTGCTCGGTGAGGACGCCGGGGGCGATCTTGTAGACCTGGCTGACGAGCTTGAACATGGGGTCGTCGGGCAGGTGCTTCTGGGCGAACTCGCGCTGGGAAACATAGCGGGGGTCGGTCTTGCGGAGAACAGCGTGGCCGTAACCGGGGACGACCTGACCAGCCTTGAGGGTAGACCAGAGGTAGTCCTTGATGGCCTGATCGCTGAGGTCGTTGCCAATAGCCTTCTTCATCTTCTGGAGCCAGACGAGAACCTCCTGGTTAGCCAGTCCGTGAAGAGGGCCAGCAAGACCGTTCAGGCCAGCGGCCAAAGAAAGGTAGGGGGAGCTGAGAGCGGATCCAACCAAGTGGGTGGTGTGGGCGCTGACGTTACCACCTTCGTGGTCAGTGTGGATGGTGAGGTACAGACGCATCAGCTCAACAAAGTCCTTGTTCTCGGAGAAACCGAGCTGGTGGGCAAGGTTGAAAGAGTAGTCCTTGTCCTTCTGGATGGGAGCGACCTTGCCGTCCTTGTAGATGTTACGGTAGATCTTTGCGGCGATGGTGGGAAGCTTGGCAATGAGGTCCATGGAGTCCTCAAAGGTGTGCTCCCAGTATTGCGACTTGTGCATGCCCTTGGCGTAGGCCTTTGCGAAGTTGGACTCGTGCTCGAGAGCAGTGACGGCGAGGGAGAACTGGGCCATGGGGTGGAGGTCGCTTGGGCAGCGGTCAATGAGCTCCTCAACGAACTTGGGGACATCGGAGCGGGCAGCCCACTCAGCAGAGAGGTCGCGGACCTGCTGCTCAGAGGGGACCTCGCCGGTCAGAAGAAGCCAGAAGAGACCTTCGGGAAGAGGCTCCTGGCCACCAGGGGCCTTGGGGAGGAGTTCTTGGCATTCGGGGATCTGTTGCGTGTTAGCGCTGGATCCGTGTGCGCCGAGCTGAAAATGTCACCACGTACAGTCTTGCCACGGAAACGGATACCCTCCTCGGAGTCGAGGACGGAGCCTTCCCAGACGAGGGACTTGATGCCACGGGCACCGCCGTAGACCTGGTCAAGGGTGACCTCGCCGATGACCTTGTTGCCGTGCTCCCTGGGTTATGATGTCAGTCTGGTAGTGGGGTGGATACGGCTTTGGCAAAAACGCACTTGCGGAGCTTCTTGATCTTCTCGATCTCGCCAGGCAGCTTGTTGGCGAAGGTCTCCTTCAGCGACTGCAATTGGATGGGTCAGCGGATGCATTGGCTTCAGGACGGCTGTGGTTGGCCTACAGTAGTCTTGCTGGAGTAGAAGCGGAGGCCATTGAAGGCTGTGGTCCGCAGGGGAGTGGCGGCGCGGAAAGCGCTTGACAAACGCAGAGCAGATGCCATTGTGATGAAGTGTGAAGGATGATGAGAAGTCGGATGGGCGGGAGGGAGTTAAAAAGGTTGCGTCGGAACGATGCAAGAAAATACTGGTGGAGCTCAGCACGGTCTCGTCATGGCTGCACACCCATGCCGCCATGGCCTAACGAATACCACCCGCGCGGGCATCGTTCGGAGGTCCCTCTTTTCCGGTGTTCAACAATTACTCCATGTCAGGAACACGCAGCCTAGCGCACCAATTCTTTTGTCGGGCTTGCACAGGCGGGCTGTGCATGTGTGTGTTGCAGGAGAGCCACTTGATTTTCTTGCCTTGGCAGCGGACAGCAGCATGGGCGACTGTGGCCGCGAGCGCCGTCCCGTCCAACGGACAGGCACATACAAAGTAACCATGTACGTAGGTAAGTAGAAAGTATCGAGTGCTAGGCGCGGAATAAGAAAATGGCGTCGGCAGCGCCCTCGAATGCTTATTGCTTCGGCCGGGCAAAGGGCCGGCGTCGACGACTGCTTACTGCAACACCAAAAAGGCAACTCGTACAAAAGGCCCCAAGGCCCGAGGCAGGCGTGCATCCTGCTTGCATCCTGTTTGCATCTCGCGCTGCAGGGCTCGCACTTACACTCGTCCAGACATGCATTTGCTTGGCCGAGGTCATGTCACGTGCCCTGCTAGCGTGGCTCTGGCAAACTTGCCGACTCGTCTCACGTTCTACTCACCTCTGCAACTGCGCCCTTGACGTAGACCACGACCATCTCTCGCGGCCCATTCACACTGCTTCCATTGACTCTCTGGCTTGCTGCAACTATCGCGCTTCGTGGTGACATCGCTTGCACAGCCAATTTTCCACTGCGCGCTCGCGTCCTGAGTTGACTGGGGCCAGCAGCTCGCCTCGTCCGCGTCAGGAGACAGCCCAGCGCTCCTTTCGCCTGCAGTCTTGGTACAGTACTCTACTGCCTAGATCTTCTTGCTTCGGCTCGCGTCTTGTGGGTTTCAAGTAAAGTCTGCTGCGTGTTTGCCATCTCGGTTCTCTCACCACACGCTTTGGCCTCCGTGGTGCATTGCCAAGGGCCGTCTTTTCCTTTCGCTTCACATCTCTGATCTGGCACATTGAACATAGTCATGGCAGCCATGGACGAACTAGGCACTCAATTGCAATCCCTCCAGGCGCTCAAGCCGCCTGGGGTCACACCCACCAAGATCAAAGCTATCACGCAACTGTGCGTTGACAACATTCAGGTATGCCAGTCGCAAGGACCTTGTCCACAACCTCTGCGCGCTTTGATCATCATACTAAGGACTTGAACTCACATGTAGTCCCACCCCATCATCGTCCAGAAGATCGCTCAGCAGCTTCAGAACAGCGCCGTCACACATAAACTAGGAGTACTATACGTCGTAGATGCAGTCGCCCGCCAGTGGGTGGAGAGGGCTAAGCAGGCCGGTCAGACCGTGTCCAAGAATGCTGTACCAGGAACATATGCTTCAGGAGTGCAGATGATGCGAGATGTGCTACCCGCTATGATGATGAACCTCATCCAGTCTGCGCCAGAGACTCAAAAGGAGAAGATTTCCAAGCTTATAGACATCTGGGAGCGTGGCCAGACGTTTCCCCACGACATGCTGGCCTCCTTCAAACAGCAACTGAATGGCGGTCACAATAGTAGGTAGAGGCCTACGCGTTGCCTTTTCCTTAGCTAACGCACAGTAACTCAGGCGTTCCATTACCTGTAGAGCCACCCAAGAACAATGGCATAGCCCCAGCCTTCAACGGACAGACTTCTAACCCACAGCCACTTGCCCCGCCACCTCTGGCGCAGCCATCACAAGACACTAATGCTCTATTTGCTGCCCTCGCCGGCATTAGCCAGCAGAATATACCTACTAATGCTCCACCTGCAGCACCTCCTGCGTTTCCTTTTCAACAAAACGTATTGCCACCTCCACCTCCTGGTTTCGTGCCTCCGCCGCCTGCTGTAGCAACAGGACAGCCCAGCTTGCCTGTCCCACCCGCTGGAATGAATGAACTCGCGGGACAGATTCTACAGGCCATGAGTGCTGGTTCAATCCAACCCGATCAGGCAATACAGGTGTTGAACGCATTAGCCACAGCTCAGAATGGTGGACTGTCCATGTTGCCTTTACAGCCTCCAGTGGCTACACAGACACCCCCACAAGGGCAGTCAATTGTAATCAATGGTAACCAAACAGATCGGTATGATCAGACAGACAGTAGAATGCGAGACCGTAGCCGATCGCCTGGCTTTCAACGTCGACGATCGCCTGGGGATAGGTCTCCTCCCAACCCCAATCGTCGGGAGAGCCCAACATATGGTGTTTACGACCCAAATGCAGGCCCTGAAGGCAATTCGCAGCGCTTTGAGAGAGGTGAGCGCGGTCGTAGCCGTGGCAAACAAAAAGGAGGACGTAATGATCGTAGTGAATATCGGCAACGCTCGCCACCGCGACGACAGCCAAGCCCACCTAGGGCAGCAGCATATGGCCAGTCCAAGTATATTGAGTGGGATGAGACCCTTCCACGCGATAATATCAGAGTGCTTAGTCGTACATTGTTTGTAGGCGGTGCTGGTGGAACAGAGAGTGAGATTCGAAGCATCTTTTCTCGCTTTGGTAGAGTTCAAACGTGCATTGTCAACCAAGATAAGCGACATGCCTTTGTCAAGATGTTGACCCGCCCCGATGCTCTTGCTGCCAAGCAGGGTATGGACAGCCTGAATGATCCTGTTGCACAGTCCAAAGCGCGCCAGGTAAGGATGCGAATTCTTCTAATCATGTACATGACTAATGCGTGCAGACGCGATGGGGTGTCGGATTTGGTCCTCGTGATTGCAGTGACTACCAAACAGGCATCAGTGTGATTCCCATTTCTCGGCTTACCGAGGCTGACCGAAAGTGGGCACTGACTGCTGAGTATGGCGGAACTGGTGGTCGTGCTCTCGAAGGTGGCATGATAATCGAAGAGCCGGATATTGAGATTGGGGCCGGTGTTTCTTCCAAGGGTATGCCTGTCTTCTCGTCCTTTGCAAATCCCGCTAACAAACTTACAGCCATCAGCCGACGTGTGCCGACCGATGCCCCTCGGGGTGGGCGTGGGGGCTACGGTGGCCGTGGAGACCATGCTGGACGTGGCAACTCTAATGGACGTGAGAACTTGAATGAGCGCCCCGATGCTCCTCCACCCAACAACTTTGGCGGTGCGCGCCCCGGGCCTGAGAATGTCGCTCAACACAAGTTCCGCAAACACGACCGAGGAAACGCTAATGATCCCCGCCATGTATCGCCTAGAGCTGATCAGGGTGTTGCAGTTCCACCGGCCGTACCTGGATTTGGCTTCCAGCTTCCCGGCTTTTCATGACATTGCCCACAGTAATCAATTCCCGATATGCATTTACGGGAATTTCCTTTGAGGGCGGCTCTTTTTCTCGACTTTTATACGGTTCAGGCCTCTTGCGGTGGGACGACGGAGAGGGAGGATAAAAAAACTCTTTTCAGCTTTCGGCATATGTTCAAAGCATTGCAAGGCGTTGTGGCAGCTCTTTGCGAAATACTTTTGCTTTCCAAACAAGGTACCTTTTGCTTCGTGTATATTTGAAAAAAGAAGTGGTCTCGTGTATAGTATTTCTAATTGATAATGTCATGTGTAATTATGTATTGGTGTGCGTGTGCAATCGAGACAACACTGAGCATCACCAATTATTGCATTTGAATCTTCTAATGAATACTACATGACGACAACAAAAGCTTTTCCTTATTACTTCTTCCTTGAGCGACGAAACGAGAAAAAAAAAGGCAAAAGAACACTCTTCCTTAGTTTCTCCTACTTCCTCTTGGTCGCTTTACCCTTCTTCTCACTGCCCGTAGCAGCCGCCTGCTCCTTCTCCTTGGCCACGTCCTCGACCTTCTTTGCATCGGGCACCTTCAACGACTTATCACCATCCGGATGCGCTGCAAGCGGCTTATTCGCATCCTTCTCCTCGACCTCCTCATCATCACCTCCCTGCCCAAACTCATTAACACGGTTATAATCAACCTTGTACTTCCACGTCTGAAACAGATAGACAAAGAAAATGACGTCGTCACGGAGGGTGGCCAGACGATGTAAGGTGGGCATCTTGATTGTAAAGGCGAACAAGTCGTCAATGAAGGTGTTGAGGAACTTGTACGTCATTGCGCGGCCGGGCATGTGGGCTACGGACTGGAGTCTGTAGTTGATGTAGAGGGCGGGGACCATCATGAGGAAGCCGTATGCGTAGACGGAGCCGACGAGCGTGGTGATGATGAAGGAGTACCATGACTTGTGGGATTCGTACATGAGGGAGTAGATTGCGTATGCGACAAGCAAGGGGATAGCGACCATGTAGAGGTATTTGAAGGCAATGGCGTCGTATTCCTCCGTCTTCTTTTCGGTCTCGGAGAGGACGTGCTTATCTTCGAAGACGATGGTGTAAGGGAGGAGGGAACCCGGGGCGGTAGGGCGGACGCGGACGTTTACGGATTTAGTGATTTTCCAGGCTTCGATGGCCATGCCCATGCCTTGGCCGAAGAGAATCATGTATGAGGTGTTTTCATTGTTGTCGATGAGGTAGAGGAAGATGATGGCTTGCATGACGACGTTTGCGAGGATGGTACGGACAGAGGTGCCGACGTTGTCCTTTTTCTTGCGCCAGTGCTGCACGTCGTTCTTGAAGGCGAGCATCTCGAAGATCATGTGGAGGACGGATACCACGGCTGTAACGGCAAGAAGGTACGAGTTGCTGTCGATGATGATCTCCTTGAACATTTCCATCTCAGAGCCGTCGCCACCTCCAGGTGTAGACTGACCGGCGGCCGCAGCTCGGGCATTGGCGTTGAGGTTCTCGTCAACGGCGGCGAAGATGTTGAATTTCCAGTGAGCATAGTTGTTGAGCTTTACGTGAAGTGGAAGGGTAGTGACGGTTTCGTTGACCTCAATCATGTCCTTTTTGAGCTGCCAAAATGTGTTTGTGAAGACAATGGGGTAGTACCAGCCGTGCTGACCCGTCTCATCCCGCGCACCAGTCGCTTCAAGCGTAATGTACTTTCGGGGGCCAGGATGCATAACGGCGAACTGCATAGTGCCTGAGTCGGGAATGAGGGATACGGTGAAGTTGGGGTGGTAGTAGTTAGCTACAATCTTGGGCGCGTTCTTCTCCTCTTCCGTCTCAACCTCAGTTTTCTCGGGCATGTCGCTTAGCAAGTTCCTCGTCTTTGCAATCTTCTTCTTGGGCTGGTATTGCGACAAGGGTCGAATGAAGTGGTAAGCCTTTGCGGTGTCGTAGCCTGGTTGCGTGGGATCAAGCACACTGCCGCTCTGCGCCACATAGAAGTGAGCAAGGAGCGTCGCGTTGCGCTGTACCTCCTTGGGCACTTTAAATTCAATGTCGATTTCTCTGTTCTCGCTGTAATCTCCATACTTGAAGTTCTTCTCGTTGATCAAGAGCGACTCTTTGGGCATGGACTTGAGTGGCGGCATGGCGATGGAGGGTGAGATGTACATGGCAATGTCCATTTCAGTGCCAACAGGCCACATGGGTGCGACAGCATAGGGTATATGGCTCCATTGAACGCCAGGTGCGAGGGATTGGGGACGCTGTTCCCAGGCAGGTATCACAACATTGCCAGATGCTTGGGCGACGGCTCCGGGTTGGGACGGGTCGGCGGCGGAGGGCGCAGTCTGTTGGGCTTGTGGCATGAGATACTTCATTCCACCTTGGACAAGCATGAAGATTCCCACGCTCTGGACAATGGAGGTGAGGAGCTGCGGGCTATGTTAGTATACATTGCAGCACAGAGGGGCGTTGGGGCAACTTGCGCTTTTGCCCTGCTCGGGCGCCTGGGCGGCTGCTTGTGCCTCTGGCATGATGGCAGCGTGCGGAATTGGAATTCCGACTTGAGCAGATTGGTGTCCAGGAAACCAGCAAGAAGAGACGTGGAGTCGCGATGGGAGAACAGATGGCCTGGCACAGCGGGCGGAGGAATTGGGGCGGGCCAAGACGGGCTGGTAGTGTCAGGGTCTAGCCACATGGGCGGGCGGCATGCCGGCATAGGCTGGGGCTGGGGTGACGCAATGCGGCTGACCGAACTGCACGTCTTTTGCATGCCACAGGTCCACCAGGCCCTGCGTCTGCTGCCTGTTATGCGTGGATGTCTATGTATGGATGAGTCGTCGACGACAACAACAACACGGTCCTTTGTGTGCTTTCCCTTCTCTCACTTGAACCTGACAACGCCCGAGTACGCTCACTTGTTACCATTGCCTGCTTGAGCCTTGTGTTACTCCAATATCGTCGTCCATTTTCTCTGGCACATTTCGTTCCGAGCCTGTTCCGAACACAGACGAACATCTACACAACATGGCAACTACCAATGACACCCCCAAGCAGCCCGTCGTCTGCGTATTGTATGTGCAAATTGGCTTTTTCGCTTCCTCCAATCGCATGCTAATGGCCATAGTTGCGGCGCCTCGAGCGGCACATCACCCGTGCACATGGAGGCTGCCCGCGCTCTTGCACACGCCCTGCACAAGGCAAACACCAAGCTCGTCTATGGCGGTGGCACCGTAGGCCTCATGGGAGAAGTAGCACGTACCCTCGTCTCGCTCTCAGGCCCCGACAGCGTCCACGGCATCATTCCCGCTGCCCTCACCCGCCTCGAGCAGAACCACGACCCTGCCGACCCCGACAAGCACTCCATCGATGAATCCATATACGGACGCACCACGGTCGTCAAGGACATGCACACACGAAAGCAGATGATGGCTCAGGAAGTCATCAAGGGAGGTCCTGGTGGCGGCTTTGTGGCCCTGTCAGGCGGCTACGGAACGTTTGAAGAGCTCATGGAGATCACCACGTGGAACCAATTGGGCATTCACAGTATGCCAGTCATTGTCTTCAACGTCGATGGATACTGGTCTGGACTGATTGAATGGGTCAAGAATGCTGTCAAGAGCGGCTTCATTGCGCCTACCAATGCTGGAATTTTGTCCGAGGCTCTTACAGCCGACGAGGTCATTACATGCTTGAATGAGTACGAGAATGCGCCCGGACGTTTCAACTTGACTTGGGAAGAAAATTAACTTTTTCATCCGTTGCTTGCCGCGAGGCAAAAGGGAAATGTGTGGATCGACGGGGACCTAAAATATACAGTTTAGTGGTTGCTATCTGGTTTGTCTAGAGGCTTGAAATATGCATGACCTTCAAACAGTTCCATGTCCAGCTTTGACCTAATTGACCCTAATACGTCGTGCTACAGGGCTCTTCTGTTTGCTCGCTATTAACACCTTATCTGCTGCTGGCAGGTGTACATCAAATGACAAGGTCAGCAAGCGGGGCTAGACCATCAATCATGGTAGCGCGCCCACCACATGAGTGCAGCTGGGATCTGCAGACATACGCACATGGCCAGTTTACATGAAAACGCCTCGATATGGAAGAGATTAAGGCCAAGAATGCCACAAGTACCAAACAGGACAGCTGCAAACGTAATTGTCTAGCGCTTCCAAATACTCTACGCCCCAGCATACTCTTTCCGTACGTCGTCGGATGCGATGGAACCCCGCAGATAGGCATCGGACCTAGTCCAGACCCCAGCCACGCTGCTTCATCTAAAGCCAGCGGCAACAACCCCACCCCCCCGGCCAATGAACCTGCCAAGGGTATAGTCGCGACGCTTGACACACACCACCCATCCTCTCGGCCTCTATATACACCGCGAGGGTGGGATGAGAATGGCCCACACGTCATCGATAATCGGCTACGCATGTGCCAGTGAACAATGGGGCCATTGTCTTCTCTGTATATAGTCAGCCTCACCTCCTCCCACCTAATACCCAATTCACCACAGTAGTGCTTGCCTTTTCTCATTAGACGGGCACATCACTTTCACCCCTCGGGACTTGATTGGGCTCTTCTTTTCTTTTTCACCCACACACGTCTAGACCCATCTTCTCCAACCAGACTGTAGACCGACGCGAACACAAGAAGAGACAGATATGGCAGACGACAAGAAAGAGCAGGCAGAGCAGGCGGCCGCCGACAATGGCATGTAAGTATTTCTCCTGTCATGTTCTTCACATGGTGGGTTTGATCGACAGAAACGGGAAACATGAGGTACGAATGGAAATACAGCAAACATGTACTGACACGCCAACGCAGTGTCAACCCCTCGGGAGCAATGGTAATGGCTGTAGCTCCCATGTACATTGCCTTCGTTCCAGTCACGTACGTACCACACATGCAATGTCGCTCACATGCAACCTCCAAATTCTAAAAACCAGCAAAAGTACCTACCTCACCGCCCCAGAGAGTATATGCCAATCCCTCGTCCACGCCATCATCAAGCTCCTTCCAGGAATCAACGTAAGCCCCCTCATTCCAAACCCCGCATACAGAACCAACACAGGCTAAACCAACCCAAAAAGACTACGGGCATAACCTCAGGTCGGGCCATCCCCGCTCTTTCTGCTCTCTACCTCTTCTGGACTTTTGGTGCATCGGGTGCCCTCTCCGCCGCAGGCCAAGCCATGGGTCGCCGCGAGGGCCTCGACAACGATCACCCGAGAAAGCACGTGCACCAGCTTGAGGGTCTGCCGCTTAGACTACGCAGCGCGCATTACGCTCTTATGGAGAACTTTCCCGGTAGGTTTTTCTCTCCCCTAACCCCCGTCTCTTGATTTCCAAATCCCTGGTGGATTTGATTACCGAATCAATCTTCAGTTGCTGATGCACGTGGGATTGTAGCATTCGCTCTCGCTGCAGCTCTAGCGCAGATTATGGCGCCCAACGATGCTCAGATTGTCAACCTGCTTGGCTTCCATGTCATGGCGAAGCTCATGGTGCACTATCCGGCGTATGTGGGTAATGTGGCCATGCCGAGGACGTTTGCCCATGTTAGTGCTACTGCGGCATTGGTGAATGTTTGTTGGAGGCTGGCGGGAGCGAGCTGAGCTTTTTTTTTTCCCTTTCTTCCCGTCTTCTTCATAGAATGGCAAAGATGGATGACTGTTCGCGAGAAGAAAGAGGGAGATGTTGTAATCTGGAGCCTCGGATAGGGCAAAGTGTCGAAAGAGGGAAGTGAGGTTTACAAAGAAAGGAAGACTGGCGCTCACAATATACTCTGGTAAGGACGCTGACCCAGATAGAATATGAAAGAAATGGAAGCAATTCAACGGTAAATCATCTAACATCGTTGTCTCATGCAAAACTACTAAAAAAAATGCCAACTTAAATCCCGATAACCCACATCAAAGGGCAAAAAAGAAAGAAGAGAAAACGCCCCAAACACCTTGCTCATGAATCCCCACACATCTACTCCCTAAACACATTCTCCAACCTCTCCAGCAACAAATCCGCATGCTGCTTCTGGAAAATAAGCATGGGCCGTAACCTGACGGCCTTCTCCCCTGACCCCCCGATATTCACCCCTTGGCCCTTGGCCTTCTTCAACACCTCATCCCTCCTACCACTATCAAACGCAATAAAAGTGCCCTGACCCTTTCCGCGCAGATTCTGAATCTCACTCGGATACCTCTCCGCCAGCCTCTCCAATCCACTGAAAAGATAGTCACCGGTGGCGGCGGTACTGTTGACCAAATCCAACCGCCGAATCTCCTGGATGATAGCGCGGAACAAGATGGCGCGCGCGGGATCACCCATCCACGTGTTAAACTGACGATACGGTTTATTGGGCCTCAACTCATCGTTGCCGAAATAATAACCCGCCGTCTGCGCTTTCTTGGAAAAGGTAACAATGTCCGGTGGGGAAGCGAGGCCCCAGTGCTCGTGGGCCCAGAATTTGCCTGTTGCGCCGACGCCGGTTTGGACTTCGTCGACGATGAGGAGGACGTTGTGTTTTTTGGTGATTTCGCGAAGTCCCTGGAAGAAGAAGGGGGTAGCGTGGTTGTCGCCGCCTTCGGATTGGACGGGTTCGACGACGGCGGCGACGGGCTTGTTGTGGTAGTTTTGGAGGAGTTCTTCTGTTTCGTCGAGACAGCGCTGCTCTTCGCGTCGGTTTTCGGCTTCGTGTTCGGAGAGTGGGTACTTGAGTTGGGGGAAGGGGGCTTGGGGCCAGTCAAAGGCTGGGATGTCGAGTTTGTGGATGGGCTTTGAGCGGGTGGTGGAGAGACTGCCGAAGAGGCGGCCGTGGAATCCGGTTTTGAAGCTGAGGATAGACATGTCGGGCGCACCGGGGGATTTGTTGTTCATCGAGGAGGCGATGTCTTCGGCGGAGAAGTCGACGTCGGCGCCGCCACGTTGCTGTTGACGCTTCCACATGAAGGCGGCTTTGTAGGCGAGCTCATTGGCGTCGGAACCGGCTTGGGCGGTGAAGACTTGGTTGAGGCCTTTGGGTGCTACGGAGAGGATGCCGCTTTCGAGAATGTCGGCCCAGTCGTGTTGAGGGAAGTTTCCGAGTGCGGGTCGGTTGATGATGGCTGAGGCCATTTCTGGGGAGGTGGCTGCGAGAAGAAGAGACGGGTTGTTGTAGCCAACGGGGATAGAGGCAATCTGGGCGTATACATCGAGAAGCACGTTGCCATCGAGGTCGGCGATACTGCCAAAAGTCAGTTTACCCATCCTCCAAGTTCAGTCATAGAGCAACATACTAGTTGCCGTAGCTTCGTGAATAGTCGGCCATCATGTTCAAGCTTCGGATATCAAACACCTTGCCAAGTTTCTCAATAGCCTTTTGGCTGTTGGGCCCAGGAATCTGTGTCTTTACAGTTGGCTGCTTGGGCTCGTCGGGAAAGAACGACTGCTCTCCGCTGTCTGTAGCGACCGCGGCGGCTGCGGTAGCATATCGTCTATTGAGCGCCGTTGGTACCCTTGAGGCTGCGTAAGGATTCACGCGAGGAAGAATCGCCCGCGAGCGACCGGTGGTACGAAGAAGAGAAACCATTGTGTATGCAACTGTCGGCGTATGCAGCGTGCAAACGTGTTTTCAAAGAAAATGTCGGGGATGCACAATGGAGGTGCGGGGAGACGCGACGCCGATCAATAGGTGTCGGCGGGGCGTCTTGCAATGGCACAATCCAGACCAAGAGAGTCTCTGAATACTGTCTAACTCTTGAAAAAAGAAATTGCTAGAATCAGGCCCAAAAACATTCCTCCCGAAGAGCGCCACCGCCTTTTATACCAACAATGTCTCGGTGCCACTGATAGAGAGCTACTTGGGCAACCGGCTCTAACCCGTTGCTATCCCCGCATAAGCTCGACCAAGTGAGCCTCTAAGTTCTAGTGTACATTTGAACCCTCGACTAAACCCCTTCGAGATGATAAATTTGGCAGTCCGATCCGACACACGCCGCAGACGCCTCGTACGCCACGGCAGTGTGTCACGGAGAAGTGACTGGCGCGGGGTAGTTAGTTTGTTGTCAGCGAACCACGTGTGTCGGTTCTGCATGTCTTTATTCCTTGGACATCCGCCCTATGTGTCAAGATGTCGCAATGAAGAGTCTAGGTATGCATCTGACATGCAGCGGCATGACACGACAGTCTAGAAGGGGCTGGGTCAGAAGGAAGAGTAAATACTTATAGGCTGCGATGTACCAAGGGTCATCACACCAAATGTCGGTTCATGGTGGGGTAATAGGGTGGTTATTAGGGTAGCCATGACACAAAGAAATATACCACTGGGCATTTTATTACATTACGAAGTCACTATCGATTACTGACTTCCCGAAGAATTGTAACATCATCTCTACATACTTGGGGCAATCGAAATGGATAATTAAAAGGTTTCCATATACCCAACCTATTGGCGCACCTCGTTTGACCCATAGGTACCAGTAACACTAGTGGTAGTTTTCAGCCCATCCCAGATTCCACGAGCGCAAAGAAGAGTAGTACCATGAAATTAGCAAGTTTTTGACGACTTTTGTCGTAGATAAACTCCATATCCCCTTCCACCTTCCATGCAGTCGATAGCCGGTCCAAAGCACAGCAAACACACAGAGCCTCCTCTGCGAGTTCTTCCAACCACCCAACGCCTTTTGATATGCTTATGCAACCGAAACCTTCTCGGCCCAGTGTGTTTTGATCTCGAACTGATTACAAAAAGATAAAAAGCGCAAGTAACACAGAAATCGAAAAAAAAAGAGGACTGCCCGGAGTGGGCTACTGGGTGTGCTTACCGTTACTGCCATTTATAAGTGGCTGCTTCTGATCAACGAAGCCGTTGGTGGGAGGTGTTGCGAGCTGCATCGGACTACCATAGTCACCAAGTTGAAGAGTGGTCTTTACCCCGTTGGGCAGGCTATCAGCAGTGTCTGGGAACGAGTTTGTGGGGGTTTCATCCATGGGTGTGAGGTTGGACTCTGCGTCTTCGGTTGACTCAAGTGGTGGCGGAGGCGGTGGAGGCACGGGCTGTGGTGTTTCAGAGCTTGTCCGTGTTCTCTTTGGCGAACCAAATCGACCTTCCTCTTCTCTCTTGCGCTTCAATTCGGATGCAGAGTCGGAAAGAGAGGCCTCGTCAATTGTTGCTGCCAGGCTATCAGAAGTGCCACGGATGGCGTCACTCTGTGGCGTCTTGATCCTCTGCCGTTCTTCCTTCTTCTTGACGGCCTTTTCCATAAACTCTTTGACATATTTCCGCACTGTCTTCTCGTGATTTGAGCTAATCTTAGCCGTAGGATCCTTGACACGCCCAGATTTGTAGTCGCCGCGAACGAGCTTCTTTGCCACCTACCGGTACGGTTAGCAAGTCGATATAGACACCAAAGAGAGCACCTTACCTCTTTGCTGAGCCGTTTGATTTCCTCCTTTTCGAATTTCTTCCGGTAAGATGAGGTTACGGCCATGACGTGGGGCGAGAGCTATAAATGTCAGTTACACACTGAGTATCTGCTCAATGTACTCACAGTCGCCTCGTATATTTTTTCCTGCTTCTCTATCGGCAGGCTGCGCCACTTTTCATCGCGTAGCGCCGGTTCTCTGAGTTCGTCAGGGACTGGTTGCCGAGTGGAGGACGCAGAATTCCCAGTAGGGGTTTCTGTCGAGGTGATGCGCGATATGATGTCTTGTAGCATCTGTGTGTCGCTCTTGGCTTTGTTCTGCTGGGGTGGTGCATTCACAGCCTGGGTCGGGCGCTGCCATTGGGTGACGCCTGAGGAGTTGTAAAAGTATGTCGATCCATTCTCTGCAGTAGCTTGAAACCAACCCGGGGGGAGACTGTTTGGCGGTCGGGGCCGGTTAGCTGGTCGGGCAACAGGAAAGAAATTGGCTGGACCGCGGGGTGCATTCAAGGCGCGAGGGCCTGAAGGGATGTTCGTAGCAGATGGGCCTTTCGGCGCGACTGCAGACGGTGACTTGGATCTAGACCTTGACCGCTCCCTACCTCGCTCCCGCCGCTCGAAGTGATTTTCGGTTCGGACAGGGGTGGCGGCATTTGGATCCCTCTTTATGCGAGGTATCCTGTACGCAACCTCCAGCTTACTCCATGCACTAAGGAGTTCAGTAGCTAGAGTCTCGACACGCTCATCGCCGTAGCCGTTCAGTTCAGCGACCGCTTCTTCAATACCAGATTCCTGAATCTTGTTTCGAGTGATACGCGGTAGTCTTTGGAGGATGTCGAGAACTTGCAGTACTACATTAGCGTCTTCCTTCCATATCTTCAACGTTTTCTTTAGTGTCTGATAGCCATGAAACTGCACAATGCGATGGCCAACCCTCTCACTGCAATTCTGCATGCGGCTGAGCAGTTTGACAGCAATCCACTTTTCGGTGCACTGGCGCAGAGCAGGCACAATTTTCTTGACTCCATCCTCGTCAAGTTCCTTTGGCTGCAGATCATTGACGTATTCCTCGTCATCCTCGCTGGCCTTCTTTCTGCGGGGTTTCTTGGCAACAACCGCTGTGTCCCAGGCAGCACCATCATCAATGCCAAGAGCCTGAATCATATCAGTGGACAACTTTGTCGCGTTATCAGACTGCGTCTTTCCGCCAATGAAACCACTGCAGTTGGGTTCACCGCAGTAACAAGGTTGCGGGTCCGCACCATATCGGTCCACATTGTAGTTGAAGACGAGTTCTTCACCGGCTTTGACCTGTCGCTCGACGAAGATGCCCATGCGTAGCTTGTCCCCGACAACCCATTTGTCGACGAAGCAGTTGGGATTACATGAGTGATTGCAGAACCGGCCAAGGTTGCCCTTCTTGGTAGCGTCTACAAACTCGCCCTTGGTCAAAGACATGAAGTAGAAATGCTTGATTCCCTCCTCATCGTACTGGCCCATGCGCCGACGAAAGGTGCGCTCGTCAATAACTTCGCCAATGTACTCGAAGACAAATTCGCCAGGTGCCATGTCTTTGTTGGCACGCAGTCCAAACCCTTTTTTCTCCGTCTTGATGACAGCGACATTGGCATACTGTTTGCGCTGGAAGCGTTGGTTCTGACACCGCCTTCCGCAGCCGCAATCCCCCACACACTCCATTTTTGTGGCGCGGTTGATGCAGTCCGAGTCTTCGCCACAGGCATGATTTTTCCTGGTCGCAGGGTCATATTCCTCTTGGCAATCGCATTCGAGCGCCGGGTCTGTTGTGCCGATAGTCTTGTTCGCGTAGGTGCATTCGGTGAGTACTGTGAAGGTTTCTTTGGCGGCTTCGGTCGAGTCTGGGAGGTCGAGGTACAGGGGAGGTGGCCGTGCGACGACTTTCTGGGCTGCAGTACGCGACAGCTTGGGTACTTTGCCGGGTTCCATCTTCAACGTGATGTCTCCGCCGAGGGTTTCTTCGTGGGCGCTGCCGGGCGAGGGTGCTTCAGACTCTTGCTTGATCATAGGCGACCGGGATTTGGATCGCGACTTGAGCCTTGGTGGAACGGCGAGGGGCGTGGGTGCGCGGTCGAGTGAATCTGCGTCCTCCACCTTTACCTGGCTTGAGCCGTGGCCCTCACCTGCCTCGTCCGAGGCTGCGCCTTCCAGCTTCATCTCGCGTAGCTCAGGCTCTAATTGAGCGTGGTCCTTTTCCGAATCGTGGCTCGACATGTTGGCGACCGTCGTGGGGGTGGTGGAGGATGCTGGGGGCGGCAGGTAGAGGATCGCGAGGTTCTTGACAAAAGGGACGCTAACGTTGGATGCCTCTGATCACGCATACAGAAACAACTACTCATTCACCTCATGGTCCGAGCGACGCGCACGTAATAGACAATATCAAAACTCCTCCTTGTGAAGCTGAGCAAAAAGCGGGTTACTGGGACGAGACGCGGTCGTTTGGGGCACCTGGACCAACGGCTGGGGGGGGGGCAAATCTTTACTTCACCCCTGTACAAAGGGCGGAATGCGATGGCTTGACTTGTGTTATATGGGCACAAAGGGTGCTGGAGACGCAGAGCAACAAGGCTTGGTAAGAGTAACAATATATATTTCTTGAGGGTGCGGATGGTAGCAAGGCGCGCGAGTTCGGGGCGTCGGCGCACGCAGGTATGGTCGTGGATTCGAGCGCGCTCGGCTCACCGACACGGTTGGCAAATGTCTTGTGTTTTCCTCACATGCGGACTCGCACTGGTTGTATAAGCGAGCATGAACTGGTGGGCCCGGGTGGAAGACGATGTGTTGGAGCGGCGCCGTACGCGACGTGGGGGGTTTTTGCTGATGGTACTTTGGAGATGGCGAACAAAAAACTAGGCTTGTCCCACCTCGCCCAGTCTCAGCCTTGCCCTTACGGCGGATGCAGGGCTCCTGAGCCGGCAACGGCTACTTGGGCGCACGCAAACCATGTCACCACCGACACAAGGAAATAGATGTGGAAAGAAGAAACGGCGCAAAGAATTCAGCAAGCATTAGGCACTCTGCTCACGCAGATGGAGACCGAGTCTGTTGACACGATAAAATGGCAGCTTCTTGGCAATTCGAGGAGACTGTAAAAGGGTCGTCAGAACGTGGCAACGTTGGGCAAGGAGAAGCCATGGAGCGGCTCTGTTGCAGACGCTAGGGAAATGGCCACTTACACCGGCCCCGTTGGTGGTCTAAGTAGATGGTCTATGGACGTTCGGTCAGGTGCTACGTACGAAAGCATGGCCGAGCACCACAAAGGTCTCGACGTTGTACGAGAAGTGGCTAGTGAGGGTGCTCGGCCATGGAAAATGTACTCCGGCCATGGCTGAGGGCTTGCATGTCAGTGTCGGTGCCATTGGTGCTGAGGCATGCAGGCAAGTGTCATTCAGGCCCACGGGGAGCTATTTGCGGGTCTGGGGACGACTCATGTACATGTCGAATACATTGGATGGGGTTGCCCTAGCGCGCCTCAGAATAGCCTCGGCGCCCACAAGACCGTCGGGCATCATAAAAGATGCCGAATGATGTCTCCGAAGGCTGAGAAAGTGGTGTGAAGCCGTGGGGAACCTGCTTTGTGTGAAAAGAAAGCAGCCCGGACCACGGCTAGCGCAAACCCAATACAGCTGAGCTGTGCATAGTAGGCCAAAAGAAAAAGAAAAGAAAAAGCCTTTTTATTTTGCTTCCACGATGAACTGGAGTCCATGCTTGGGCTGCAATCAGCGATCAGCGGCTCATGACGTCTCGAGAAAAGGGCAGCGTGCTGGGCTGGGCTGGGAGGGGAGAGAGTGAGTAGTTTTGGCCTGACCCCATGTGCACCTAGCGTCGTGTATGTCGTAGGCAGGTGTACCTACTACCACATATCTGTATGCGGACGTATATAAGTAGGTTACATTCGGATATCTGTACAAAGGTACCAAAGTAGTAAGTATATTGTCGTCGTCGTCGCCATCCATCCGATCGCTCGACCTGTGCATGGCATGGCATGGCATGCCATGACATGGGTACTATCATGCGCCAGAGAGCAGCATCGGGCGCGAGTGCCTACGTATTCGGGCGGTAGATAGAGTGCAAGGTGGAGAGTTCATTACGGAGCTTTGAGGCTTGGCAGACGGCCGTAATTGGCTTACTTAAGCGAGAAGCAGCCTGTATCTCTCCGCAAGCACACTAGCGCAAACTCTGACCCAACGGCTACCTACTCCTAAATCCCCCATCACCCATGATGCCGGCACGACAGCCATCCATGCCGCCTGCACCAGGTCGCCTGCCCCCCCCTTGACGCGGCCTGGGTCTTCTGAGACGTGAGGCCCGCACTCCATGGAAAAGGACTCCTCCACCTACCTCCATATGGCTGGCTGACTGGCTGACTGTCATGATCATTGGAGGCCATGCCGAGTCGCGGCCCGCTCCCGATGGTCAAGTAAAAAAGTGGCTTCGCGCGGAATACGATGCAAGAGATGCAGCAGATAGTAGGAGCTACGGTCTAAGTAGGCGTCGATGCATCAGCCTTGCCTTGACGGCCGCCCGCCAGCCACAAAGAAAGAGCAGCCAACAAAAAAAAGTCGAGCTGCGCAGCCGCGACGTTTGTGCTTTCTCGGTGCCCATCTCGCTAGTACCGGTCCTTGGAGGATATTACAGATCGCACCGTTGGAGACAGGGATTACAGCGCCGTCTTCCGTTGCCCCCCATTAGGCGCGACGCTCTCTGGATGATCCGCGCTGAACCGCGCTTGACAGATTGCACGCACACTGCGAACCACTGTTGCTGCCTCGCGACACACTGGCACATGGTCGCCATTGCTTTGACCGCTATCTCGTAAAACGCGGTACATCTATACCGTACTGACCAGCCTTCGTAATTCAACACAGGCAGAAGTAAGCATGGGGAAACGAGGCAGCCAGGGACGTGTGGTGCAAGGGAAGAAAGGCCCTTTGGTCTCAGCCTAAACCCTCCACGGCTGGTGAGACACGGCTCAGCCCAGATGACTAGCGATTGGCTCATCGGTTTGCGCAATCGTTTCTGAACATCCACTGAGGGCTTTCGAGATGGGTTAAAGCGCCGCCAGATCTCTGTTACATACCTAGGCTTTGTTATCGATTTGCGACGAGCACTGATTTAGACGGTCCCCGTGCGGGAAGCCTTGGGAGCTACAGTCTGCAAGTGGGGACTAGCCGCTTTCCCATTCGTTTTCGACAAAATCCGCTAATGTATAACATACCGGGTGGCTCTTCCCAGTAATCTCTGACAAGCAAAGCAGTCTCCTAATTATCTCGACCCAGCCTCATGCTGTGGTCCCTTTGACGCGCTCTTGTTGCCTGCTGGCATGAAACCGACAAACAGAGCCCGCCGCAGGTTTCTTTGATTTTAGTGCTCTTCTTCTACCGCTCGTTACTCTTTCGTTTCAGCACTCTCGTTTGTTCTGTTGGTAGACGCAGCTATACAACCGCGCGCGAGGGCGCGTTGCTCTTCGCGCCGGTCCACTTACTTTACGGCTCTTGTGATCGATGCTCGATTTGTCTGGTTGCATACATACATACAGCGAGATTTTGCCGTAGCTGCTTTTTAGTCTTCCACCCTCGCCTATTTCGATTGTCTCGAGGATCACGACATGGAGCCCTCACGCGAGCCACCATGGGCAGAGCACGAAAAGGTACGTACCCCTCCAAAACATGGCATGTGGCACTCGTCCCCATTGTGATCCATCACTGACCGGGCCTGTCCTTTACAGGTATACTTACTAGCTGAAGTGCTAAAAGCTGCTCAAGTACCCTCTCATGTTCTCTTTGCATTCATACGCGATTCCAACATCCAGCCGCGATGGAACGACATGGCGTTGCCTCCTGGTATGCTGAAACTTTCTCTCTTCTTCTGTTACCGCATCCCAGCTATTCGTTCAAATTGTCAATCCCATACCAAATCACCTGCATAGTGCTCTAATACTGATGCGACACTTGTACTTTAGGACGGTCTGTCCGCTCTAGCCAAATGGCATTCGATACTCTTGCAGCAACCTACTCTGTGCCGGGACAAGACTACCGGCGTCCTCACTTACCAGCCCCAATGATGTACCCAGGTCCCGAAGTCCCTAAGAAGCGACCACATCAGCCGGAGACATCCACCCCGGTTGGGCGACTACTACAACCTCGCCCGCCTCATTCCTACCCGGGAGAATATATACCCGCCGGTCCTGCCTATCCCTCAGCTGTACATCCGCAGGGCGAACCGACGCATAAGAAAAAGCGCGGAAGACCGACAAAGGCCGAGGCGCAACAAAGAGCACAGGAAGCTGCAGCGAGGGGTGAAGTATATCCCCCTCCAAGAAGGGGGCGGCAGTCTCTCACGGGGCCACCGGAACAATCGCCACTAGGCCCAGATCCACGACCGCTCGACCGTACCACTCCTCCAACAACGTCTTCTTCTCAAGCACCTCCTGTCCAGACGCCACAGCAACAAACTGGAGTCGAACAAGGGTCAGAATCATCATCGGAAAAGAGAAAACGTGCAAGACCGCAGCCGCTAGAGCTGGAGAAACTCCACACACCCACCGGCATGGGATCCCCCCTCACATATGGATCGGGCGATCTTGGTCGCAATCAAGCATATTCAGCATTCACGCCAAACTCTGCGCCTTTGCCTTCGTCAACAGAAACAAGGGACAGAGATGTCCGCATGGAAGGAGTCGAAGAGACTCAAGCACGAACTACAACACCTCACTCGTTTAAAGACACGGTCGGCATATAACAGCATTTCCTTCGTCACAAAAGCACCATACGGCGGTATTCTTGTTTTGAAACTGTTCCGTCAACGATTTTACTTATGCACTTACGATGACCTTTATGGCCATGACACCATGGAGGTATACTCTGTCAATTCCGCGCATGCATCAACTATCATGTTTATGCGGTTACTGCTGCTTTGGGGCTGTTTGTTCCCCAAGCACACCATCATTGTCTTCTCCTTCAAGTTCATTTCCTTGTCCAGATTCGTTGGTTGTTTTCTTGATTGACTGCACGTCGACGCTCATGAAGGTTGGGGGCACAAGTTGACTCCCATACCTAGGTAATGTTTTACATCCGCCGTCTTAACGAGTCCAGAGTCCGCATTTCCCCTTTCCGGCAATCGGGCGCTTTCCTTGGTCAATTTCTTTATCACTACGTGTACGATAGATGGTTTCTCAATAAGTCCTGCATCACGGCCTCTGTACCTAAAAAGCACCCATTAGCAACAGCATCAACAGTAGAACCGGCCGTGGCCAATCAGCATATAAGTTGCCCATTGTTTGGAGAAAACGTGTCCCGTACCATGTGGTACTTCGCCTCTGTCCGTGAACCTAGTCGTGTCTCGACCATTCAGCCAGCGATGATGAGCCTTTCACGACGTCGAGTGCCTGCAGGCTGACCAGGAAAGCAGCATAGGAAGTGGCTGGGAAGACGAATCGGGTGGGGTATGGCGGCATCAACACCGGCGCGCAACACAAGCAACGGGGTCTCGTTTCACCTAGGAATATCTTACAAGCTCTGGTACCACTATCGCCCACTTTTCTGCTCGATACGCATGACCGTACGTACAGGGGTGTTTATGCTACTTTGCGCAAGGAGATTTGGCGAACTGCATCTAAGCGCCCTCTAGAATGTCATCCCAACACGGCAATCGATTACACCTACGAGTCTTGACCTCGATGAGCCTTGTCCGCCAGAAAAAGGAGGTGGTTGGGGATGGAGTAGGGGCAAAGAGCAGCAAGTATTGGCTGAGCGACTGGCGAGCGAATGACTAGTTGCATGTTACGGCCACGAATTTAGGCCTGCCGACAACTTTCTGCAGCGAAAAGGGAGTGTACATGACGCCAATGCATGCACGCATCGACCAAGTCCCAACGCTGGAAACCAAAACAGACACATGCCATCCAACCAACTTAGCCTGTACAAACCACGATTGCGGTTGCGGACGCGCAAACCCGAGTCGATCGTGAGACTAAAAGGTTGTTCCCTCACAAGCTGTGTTGGGTTCCCTTGTTCGCAAAAGCGGCCTAAATTGATACATGACAGAGAAATAAGCACTGTGTCCTTATCGTCATTATTATTTTATTTTATTTTTGACTTTCTGGATCCCCGCTCGAGAACCATTACCTCATCATCTATCCCTAGAAAAGCAAATAGTCCGCTCTCGCGATCGGCAACGGGACAATTCTATTTTAGAACAGAAAAAAAAGAAGGACCATTAATTACCCGCACTGCGTATGCCAGCGCTCCGGGGGCCCACCTAGGGAAAATAAAAACTCTGTTTATTATTTTGTTTCTCATATCTCGGGATGGAATGATGCCCGTGGTATGGATCGGCCCGTCATGAGAAATGGCCGGCTTTGAACTACGAGCCCGGGAACAACTGGTTTGTTGATTGCCATCAGGCGGGGTGTTTTTTCCTTCGGTCCCGTTGCCTCAACATGCGGTGATTTGTTTTCAGCTGAACTATGCGTATACGACCGATACCTATCTTCTTTGAGCCAATGCAGTGAAGTCGGACGAACAAAATTGAACGGAAACACGCCATTCGCTTCCTCTGGCCTTGGCTTTTTGTGAGCTAATTATCAAATTGCCGTTAATCTGGCTAAATTGTCTAGGTTGGGGCGTTTTGTTTCATGATTGTTGACAAGGAGCTTCCCTGGAGAATGTCTCGGCAGAGGAAGACAAAGAGGGAAGGAGAAGGGAAGATGAGTTGACAGGTGTGCATGGACCATATGTTCTTCCTTCTCTTCCTCTCGCCGTCGATCCGCCGTGTTGGTAGGTAGCTAGTACGCGTAACGCATGCGAAGGGAAGAAGGAATCGCTACCGCCGTCGCTATCTTTCTTGCTCAATTCTGCGATGCAACTGTTCAGACCGCCAGCTGCGGCATAATCTCGCATGATACTAAATTTTGCATGAAGCGCAAAGGAAAGCGAAATGGATACAAACAGGTACGTGCCTAACTTATTCCCACGTATCCCTTCCTTATAAGTGTACCACCACCATCTACCGTCTTCTGTTCTCTTGCTAGCGCTTACATTATTACGCATACCCCTTCTAACCCCATTCCGGCACTTGAAACAAAACACATATTCCAATAGAAAAAAATAATTCCCCTTAACACCGTATCCATTATAACCCAGCTTATTCCTTCCTTTCCGCAATTCCCGCCCTTCTCCGTTTCCATACTCGGCGATCATATAAGTAATCAGTGTGTAACCCTTGCCACTTTTGCTCATCCAACCCGCATACAGCTGTAATCGCGAAGGGGGAAGGGAAGGGGGAGGAGTTGGCTCCGCTCTCTCCGCCCCGCTCGCCTCGTTTGCGCTGACTCAGTCTCTCGCTCTCTCTGAAAACGTAACCCCATCTCCTTTTTGCCGAATTATTCACACGCTCCACCACTCTTTTCGCTACATACTTTTCGCGCATTTGTCGGACCCATGATTCCGTTCGCCTTGCAACCTTTTTTTTCCTTTGCGGCTGACAAGGGCCCCCCCCCCACCCCATCCTATCCCCAAAAAGCAAACTGTAGATCTCCGGTACGGCCGTAGGATGTGGCTGGACTTTCCCCTTGTAGGCATGGAGCAACCTGTCATTCACTCTTCTTTGGGGACGGAAGAGGGGGGGGAGGGGGGGGAAAGAAGATGTCACTTGTCATACATGACCGAAAAAAGGGTTTATTGTTTCGCGTTTCGGTACCTGCGTTAGCGAGTTGGCGGCAAAGGTGCGGAATGCGAAACAATCAAGTGAGGATTTTTTTATTGCTGATTTTTCTGCTTTGAGAGATATAGCCGTTTGGTCAAGAGTTCTGCGTATGTGTTTGTGTTTGGAAGCGAGATTGGCAAACTTGATTGGAGCGATGGCCATGTGATCGCGGGTAAGATAGAATTGAGGGGGAGGGGGGGCATGCGTATTAGGGATTTTGGCGGCTTAGTATCGTGGGATAGACGAGCGCGTGTGGGAAGGATTGCGAGGCGAGGAATTAGAGAGGCTTTGGAGGGGGGGGGCTTGGCTGAAAGGAGAGCAATTTGCGGCGGGCCTAGGGAGGCGCGGATAAGTGAAAGGGGATGAGGCGTCCGTATAAGATGTGTGGTATAGGCTGGGTAAGGTAAGTGTGGAGATGGTTGTAAGATCGAGACTCTTACGTACTTGAGTACGTGTGAGAACGAGATGTTTCGCGTACTTGGTGGCTTTTCTGAGTAACATCGTGTCCTGCTGAATTGAAGGAAAGGTTTGCCAATGAGAAAGGACAAAGCAGTGTTCCACTCTGACGCTGTCCTGTAAACAAGCAGACTTTCAGCATCCGATTGGTGCTGTACTTATGCACATCAATTACACAATCCTGTAGTTCAGCAGCTCACAGAACGCCACGCTGAGCAATCGATATTCCAAATCGCCTAACTAAACGTTTTTCTACTTCATACACTCAATCCCACCTCAATCCCGCCTCAATCCAAAAGACCAATCCTACGTCTTCGCTAAATGGAAAAATATTCGACCAAAAACCCCTTAGGCTAAGTAGTCGCAACACCTTCGTCTCTACAGTCATCACACGTCCAAGTCCAAGACTTTGGGTCCGGGGCTGGCCCTTTATATTTAGAGTGCTTTTGTATGCATGCGTGATGAAAAACACGGCGTATACAATCCTGGTCGTACATTAGCTTTTTCGTCCGCATTGCCCTTGGGATATGACAGGCTTACAATATTGCTACAAGCAACTATACCCTCCATCTCCGGATTCACCGCCGCATCTCCGCCGCAGTAGCATTTGTCGTATGGCGGCTCAGTATCCTCGCCCCGCTGTACATTGAGTTCCTCTAGGCGCCGCGAGAGCTCATTACTACTGCCGTCATTATTAACACTACTACTCGTCTTCTTCTGCGCCTCCACAATCTCAATAGCCGCGTCGTGGATTTCCTTGGAAATAACATCATCTTCCAGCAACTCCTTTAGCTTCCTAGCAAACTCGTGGATCAAATCCTCGTTCCACGTGGGATTTCCACGACGCGCAAAGCGGATGATGGCGTCGCCAGCGTGGATATCAGCGTGAAGACTCTCCCCATGCATGAAGTCGTCGAAAAGTTTGAGGAAGTGGCGGGCAGGTGGTGATAGGTTGTATTTGTCTATTTCTGCGTGTTTGCGTAGGTACATCCATGACTCGTCGAGTTCGTCGTCGCTTTCGCTGATGGATTCGCCGGGCTGCAGCGGGCGCTTGCTGAGGGAGCGGAAGAAGGTGATACCCCGCGGTGCTTTGGGGACGATGAATGTTTTCTTGTGTTTGGGGGGTCGTTCCTGTATCGCGTTTGGGGGTTTGCGTTGGCGTGGGGCGGGAGATGGGAGGATATCGGTTAATTGCTTCCTCTTAGGGTATTTTAGATTCTTTTCTACTCGGGCGGCTCGTTGGTAGGTGTCATCACCATCGAGAAAACGGCGTTTGTCGAAGGGACGGTCCGGGGCGAGCACGCGTACATCGCGGGGTTCGTCGGCGCGACCGCTTGCTCTTTGGTCAGCTTTTGAGTCGGCGACTTCACTGACGAATCGCCAGTGCGCAATGCCGTTTGCATCAGTTCCTGCTGAGACGAGCTGGTAGGCGAAATTGTCGTGCCAGGCGTTGAGATGCATTTCAAGATCGCGGATCTCTTTAAGTTTCTTCCCTCTAGAGCAATGCAAACAGACGAGGTCTGATCGCTCGAGAGTCTCGTTTCCGTAGACATAGGCCAGTTTGTATCGCGGTAGCAGATCGCGTGGTGGGGTAGGGTATGAACTCTGTGGCTCTGTGGCACTTCTGAGGTTACGATTATGATTTGCGAGGATTGAGTCGCCAAGTCCAGTGCTGTTCCAGTACAAGCTTATCTGTATACTTATTCCGAGTGGCTTTCCAGCTGCTTTCAACGGCAGACTGATCTTATCTGGTGGACACTCGAGGATGTTGGGATAAGAGGTCGACAGGTGTGTAGCTGTTTCCTCTGTGAGCCCAAGATAGTTGTATAGCTCTTGTGCGTCCACTTGACTTGCAAAGTTGACGCTTAGAATCATCCTATACATGTCGTCGATGCTAATCTTTCCTGGTTCGGCCGAGAAATCTCTAGGCTTCAGGATGATGGGACTGGTTTCAACCGAGGCTTTTTGCTGATTTCTATCTGCACCTTTCAGTACAGCCTCACGCACAAAAGAGCGCGTGGCAGGTCCATCAGACGGCGGAATGATCGAGATTCTGATTGAACTGTTTAACCGCATCAAGACCCGGACTTTGTTGGCAGGGTTATGATCACGGTCTGTATGTGCAGTCGTCTGGCCATTATGCGAGTTGATGGCGTGCACTTCAAGCACAAAAGAACCTTTGTAATTCTCTTGAGCCATCATCTTCTCCAGTTGGTCGCTGGATGGGGGCTCCCACTGGGAACGAAAGTCGAAATCTGGGGTTCTACAGCTGCTACTATCACCCCCCTTCAACAGATCCTCGTGGGCATCCAGGATCTGTGTGAGATTCCGATCTAGGAAGATTGGTGCTCGTTTTCTTGACAGGTAGTCGTATAGGAGTATGTTGCCGGAAAACCTGTCTCGCCGTCCTGGCATGCTCTGCAAGCGCGCCAGGGACATCAGAGATGGCTCTAGCATATACTTGGAAGAAGCTTAGATCACTTACATAGGTTGCAGCCACTTAGCGGCATTCTAAGGCAAGTGAGAACTCGAGGTGAAGACGCGCATTTGATGAGCTCAGGCCAAACTGTTTGCACAACGAGTTTCGCGCACTCTTTAGTTGAACGGCGATGATGGTCCTGCAGAGGGAGTTGGAGCGCAATTATGATGATGCGCAAGTTTCACAGACACATGACTCTTTTTCCCTTTCTATTCCGACCCAAATCAGAAAAAGAGGACGTCTCCCTGTACTGTGGTTATGGTTAGTACTTGTGTCGTGGTTATCGTTGGGTAGTTTGTTGTGATCGGAGATGTCACGTGTTATCAGAGGGCGCTAAGCTACATCGGGTCAGCAATCGGGGATGATCTCATGTCTCCTTCCTCCGTGATTACTCCGCATACAAGTCCCCGATTCGCTTTCGCAACACCACACATCAGTCACTGCACACTCAAAACATGCTTTGAACCACTCTTTGCGTTTAGACGGCCAATCTGAAGAGCTGAAAATGTCCGATGTAGGCCCAAGTCGCTACTAATCCATCTCCCCAGCTAGATTCCCTGAGGTTACTCGACCCGAATCCGTACGACATGACTGTAACACTAAAGCGGAAACGAGTCGCTGTCTCCTACAAGGAACCAAGCAGCGACGATGACCTTTCTGAGAGCTCTGACCACGAGCGAACCACCCAAAAGCGAACCGTTCCCTCTCGCCGATCAACTCGGCGCATGCGCGCTGCCGACCAAGATTCGAGTGGAAGCGAACATGCATCGCCAGAGCCTGTCCCAGTCAAGCGCAAGCAACCCTCTAGAAACCCACGCAGACGAGGTAAAGGGGCAGTTTCATACAAAGACATCAGCTCGGATGAAGACGAAGAAGACCCCGATGCGGACTTTGAGGCAGAGGAAGAGCGAGTGATGGCGGTGCGAACAAGGTCAAGACCGAGTGCGCCACCGTCATCTGAGATACAAAAGAAGCGCGGATCCAGAGACAGGCGCACTCGACGTGCTGTCCTGGGCGCACCGCTTGCGCCGAACGAGGAAGCGCAGGTTGGGTGGCGAGTGACCGACATCCCCACGGATGGATGCGTACCTGTAAGTTGATTGCATGACCTAAGACCAGCTGTGGGATGCTATGACCTGAACGGGGGACTGGCATGATGTTTTCGTACACGTAACCAATTATGCTAATATCTTGATATCTAGGCATGGGCTTCGCTTCCCTATCATGTACTCCTCCAGATATTCGTCTATGCCTCACATCCACTACATGATGAGAATATGAAACCCACTTTTGCGATACCTTGGCTTGTACAAATGGCAAGGATGTGCTCTTCATTCGCAAAACCGGCCTTGACAGCGCTCTATCGCAACCCGCCGATATTTGCCACTAGGCAGTCTCGAAAAGATCTTGTTCGCCATCTCATTGCACCTCCACAGGGAGCATATGACGACTACCGAGTCATGGTAAAGCGATTGGAGCTGGATGCTACGCAAATGACTACACTCACGGATTCGACCAATAGCGTGACAGACCTGGCAGCTCTGGTCCAGTCACTGACAACACTGCGTGAAATTGATATTTTTGACCCAATGGATAGACCGCCATTTCGACCACGTCTTCGGCGAATCCGCCGGTGGGTATACCCAAGTGAGCTTTTTGACGCCCTACGCCAGACGAGCCTGCGCTTGAGAAGCTGGCGATGGAACCGTACTTTCTGTACCCAGGGCCCGTTATGGATCAAAAGTATTCATACAGATAGCGCGTTTCAGAGCCTCCGCGATGTGACCTTGACAAAATTCCATCCTGAAGTTAGCCAAGGTGATAGCGATGATGTTGAAGCTCCACCAACGACAGAAGAGCTATTGGCGTCTGCACTAGCCGTGCTTCCCCAGTTAAGGAGCTTGTCATTCGAGACGTGTGGAGTTGTCAGTGGGCGGCTCCTACCCCTGTTACCGAACAACCTTGTCAGCCTGAATATTACCGCTTGCGGCGAGCTACTCTCTGATGCATTCCAAGCCTTTTTGGCTACGCATGGTGCACACCTGGAAGAGTTGGTGCTCAATCACAACCAAGCTCTCGACTTGTCTTTCCTCGTCGATCTCAAACGGTCATGTCCCAAGCTCGAGGTTTTGAGAATGGACACGACGTACTACAGCTCTCTGGCCATGTCTTCTGACAACGAACCCCTCTACGAAACCCTTTTAGGCGAGAGCGAGATTCCTACGTGGCCATGCACGCTGCGAACGCTGGACCTGCAGTATCTGCGAAACTGGAACTCAACATCGGCTGCCAACCTGTTCAAGTCGCTAATTGACTCTGCCGAGAATCTTCCTTATCTTCAAGAGATTACCATTATAGCAATGGTAGACACTGACTGGAGACAGAGGGCAGAGTTCAGACAAACATGGACTGCCAAGTTCAAGAAAGTGTTTGCAAAGAAATGGGAGGCACCGAATCCTCATCTCGCCTCGCTACGGGCATTCCGGGAATGGAAGGTGCAGCTTGGCGGCGGCGAGGACGACAAGGTCGATTCATTCATCGAGGGTGTCCCAGAGAAGACAGCGGTGGAGGCTCAACCCACCATGGATGACAATGGTGACAGCGATAGTGATGTGCCTCTGGTGCCTTCGGAAGCACAAAAGCAAGAGGAGGGCTGGGGCTCGAAGCGGCTACGGTCTCGCTCAAAGGCAGCGATGAGCTACGATGAGGAGTCAGATGACGGGTCTAGTTCTGGAGAGACCGAAGGATCAGCTGAAGATGAGCATCTGTTTGTGCAGGGTCGGTGCCACACGGTCATTTTCCGCATTGACAACTTCCGCCCGCGTGAAGAGATCTTCAATGAGGCCGACTTTCTCGATGCTGAGCCCAGCGGCGACGAAGAATGGGACGGTAATGATCATGATCATGAGGATGGTGGCGGGTATGCGTGGTGATTTGCTATGGGTCAATTTGCAGGCGTTGCTGGTCTAAGGCGTAAGGGATATGTTTTATGGGACACGCCGGCGTAAGAGATGGGCATGTGCGGCGAGATGAAAGCCAAGGTGGACATGAGACAGGCGTCGGATGAGGCATTTTGTACGATATCTGTGTATGAGTATTGGGCGTGGGTTGGGCTCGTGGGTTGGGCAGCGGCTTGGTTGTTGCTGAGGATGACGACGAGGCGCTGTCTCAGCCACATGTAGGACACGGCCGTTGCAAGCGCCGTTGCAATCTGGCGTTGACCAAATGGTCAACTGTACATGGTAGACGTAATGATGCAAGCCAGCTGAAAATAAAGGCCCGCGCCTACCAAGGTGCGTCACTTTTCCGGACTGCGCGTAGGGCACAGCGGGCACAGCCTCGTAAAGCTTCCCAGCACCCTGGCCAATCCCCACTACGACGGCTAACAAGGTCCACTCGCCCATGGCCGTTCGCACGCCTGCCATATAACCGCTCGTCTGCGATGCATTAACAACCTCTTTTTCGCCTCTATCCTCCCCCCTACACACATTCCCTTCGCCCTCGCGCCTGGTTGCTTCCCCAGAGCATCACTCGCCCGACCCCGCATCCCATCTCCGCAGCGGCAACATGGCCGTGCCGACGCCTCCAATCCCCCCAGTCTCGCCAGACTCGGGCCCTACCGATCCTACGCTACCCAAGCTTCCCGCGGGATGGATAGCCCAGTGGGACAATACGTATGTTTCCCTTGTAGTGCTCCCACGAGTCGCTGAGCCTGCCCCGCCTTTGTACACACGCCCCCGCGACACCGCTGACACACGCACACAGATCCCGAAAGTACTACTGTACGTTCACTGTGTCTGAGACTCCTTGGCAGCTAACGCCGGCGCACGTGCTGACTCGTTAACAACAGATGTCCAGATCAGCACTGGTGTTTCGCAATGGGAACTACCCACTAGCGAAGCGCCCATAGGTGGCAGTTCGAACCACAGCACTCCTGCACAACACACGAACCCATACAGCAGCCCAGAAGGCACATTAGGACCAGGCGCAAGCGACGGAACAAGAGGCATGGGCGACGGACAAACAGGCGACAGGGGAGGCGGACTGGGCGTACGAGACACAACCAGCCACCTGGGGGGCTTCGCTGACAAAGGGAACAGGGTTTCGCCATGAACGCACTCATGGGAGGCAACAAGCAAAATAACGGTGGCCACGGTGGCGGTGGCGGTGGCGGCGCTGGAGGCCTCGTCGGTCAACTCGCTGGTTCGTTGCTTGGAGGTGGAAAGCAACCTGGAAACTCCTCCGGCGGCCACGGCGGCAGCGGTGGTGGTGCTGGAGGACTAGTCGGCCAACTTGCCAGCGGTCTGCTAGGTGGTGGCAAGCAGCATGGAAATTCTGGAGGCCAGCAGGGTAACAACTCTGGCCACGGTTCGAGCGGTGGTGGTCTTGCAGGCGGCCTGGGAGGCATGCTCAGCGGCGCGTTGGGCGGAGGATCTGTATGTGACTCTGGTCAAAGTATCAAGGTAATGTGCTGACAGACTACAGCATGCCAAGCCGAACAACGATTACGGCTATAGCGGCTCTGGCGCCCCATCCGGTGGATCGTACACTGGCACTGCGCCGCCCTCCTCGTACAACCCCGGTTCTCAGTACGGCGGCGGCCCTCAAGGTCACTCGGGCCACTCATCTACCCCCGGACAGTCGTACGGCCAAGGACATGGAAACCAGGGACAAGGACAGGGACACGGTGGCTATGGCTCGCAACAACACACTCCACAGCCACAGCAGGGACACGGTTATGGCTCGCAGGCCGGTTTCGGTGGACAGTCTGGCTATGGTGGACCGGCCCCTAGCTACGGCCAGGGACCACCATCGTCAGGTCCCGGCGGCTACGGCCAGCAAGGTACGAGTCTATCCCTCGAACTAATACAACAAAGCTAACAATATCTAGCGGGATACGGAGGCCCTGCATACGGCGCTCCTCCTGGCCCCTACGGTGGCCCAGGAAACTACGATAACCACCAACACAACCAGTATGGTGGCGCCCCGACACACCAGAACCAATACGGCGGAGGCCAACAGTATCCTCCACCTCCAGGCCAAGGAGGCAACTACGGCGGCCAACAGGGTCACCATGCACCCCAACCCGGCTGGCAGTAAACCTTGGACGATCATCTCAGGGCGGACATGGAGAAGATTGCTGAGAAAGTTGTTTTGCATTCTTGACGGGAAAATGCAAGGGGGGGTTCGGAGTGAATTTAGCGCTGGAGGATTGTCCTTGTGGATTCTCTTCGATCCGTGGGTTTGGGAGGGGAATCTTGTAGTTTTTGTTTCCAGAGCCATGCGTATCCATTCTTCCAAATTGTGTAGACTTGAATCGCTATTGTTCTTTTTTCCGTTTCTTGGATAGCGATGTGCGTGTGGTATGATCTGTTTGCCGCTGGGGAGCCCGTTGCCCTTCGTCCTTACTGGTCTTGGAGCATGACGTTTTCACTTCTCTCTGCAATGTCGCATCCTGTGCGACACTCTTGTCCCAGTCCAGTCCAGTCCATATCCAACTCTCTCATCATTTCTCCCTCCTACAGCCCCTCACCCAAACACCTCACCCCCATCTCCCATCCCCCCAAGCACCCCAGCACCACCCACCACCCTCCATGCAACCCCAACTCTCCCCGCCTCACCCCCCACATCCTCACCCTCAACCCTCCCAACCCAACTCCCCAACGCAGCCTTCACACCCCGCACATCCTGCCTCGGCACCCGTATCCACACCTCCCGCCCGGCCGTCTTGAGTATATCAACTGGTATCGCTGCGCCCATTGTGCCCAGGTATGCGCGCAGGGCGGATGTGAGGAGCGGGGAGATGAGGAGAGGGGAGATGTCGGTTGTTGGGGTTGTGGTTGAGGCGGATGAGGTGGAAGAAGGGAAGGAGGGGGATGTGAGGGTTAGGTGGAGGTAAGACCAGGTTGGTTTGCGCAAGGTTGTTTGGTGGAGGATGTGGGCTGGTTTTTCGGGTTTGGATGCGGGTTTGGGGGTTGCGGCGTCGGGCATGGAGGTGTCTGCGTCGGTGTCTGTGTGTGCGGGTGGATTGTTAGGAGCGACGTTGGGGGCGTTATCTTGTGCCATTTTTTTCTGGCGTTTGAGCTGTTTTAGTTATGTGTGTGCGCTGGATTGAGGAGTGTCAAGATCTGGAATTGTCCATCTATGTACTGTACGGTTGGAGCTCAAGAAGTTGACGCGCCAAAACCCTTTTGCGTGGGGTTAACTAGCGCGTTTGGGGCTTATCTCCGAGAGACCCAGACCTTGTCCTTCCTCACTTACCTTCTTTCACCGTTTGTTACCTTTCACTTACCACTAACCTATATATTTCCAACAGCAAACGGTGAGAATGAAACAACCTTTATTTTTCGAAAAACAAATAGGTGACTGAAATACAAATTAATGTAAAAGAGTGTGACCGAGATAATAATCTCGTATTACAAAAAAACAAACTCCCGCCGATGACAAGGAAAAGGTTGGTTCATAATATTCGTCTCAGAAAATAAGTCTCAGAAAGCCATCCGGCTAGGGGTATCATATGCTGAAGGGATTTAAATCCCAAAAAAAACTCCGCCCAGAACTCCAATTAAAAACTTGAAGACTACGAACGCTTCCTTGCTCGCAAGTACAGCTATACACCCTTATAGGGTGCCATTGTTGCTTTCAAAAGCCTACCGATTGCTATTGCCCCTTTCCGCGCTAATACCAGAGTTGGTGTTTGTCTTTGATTGTTCAACAAGTGCTGGCAGGTAGCATTCCCAGTCCAGCGTCAGCTGGGAGCCGGGTATGCTTTTGTTCAAGGTCTCGACAACCTGTTGGACTTGGGCCAAGACAGCAAGAGCTGTACCGAATAGGCCAAAAAAGTCTTTATTAGGTTCGATCAGGGTGTCCTTGATCGTGTCGAAATCACGCCGGTGCTGGTACGTCGACATTTTCATGTCAGCAACCTGCATGGCGATTTGAGACATCTGAGGCTCAAGAGAGTTCTTCACCTTCTTTAGCTCATCGATGTCGATTTTAAGACGCTGTTCAACTTCAACTAGTGCTTGCTGGACCCTGTCCTGAACTTGCGGCGAATTTTGTCGACAGAGGGCCTGTAGCTGGGGGGCACTTCTTGCAAGGGCCTGCAGTTGCCCAGCATTCTGGCACAGATCGACCAAAACTTCAGATCGTTTCCGAACCCATAAGAGGTCGTTGCAGTAAGATTTGAGCTGGTTGACATCTTGTTGAAGTTGTGTTGTGTCTCTCAGCAAAGTTGCACTTGTTGGATACATCTGCACAAACCAGTGTACCATTTTCTGGTACATTTCGTCGGTGCTAATGTTTTGGTATCGATGCTCGAGGTCTTTTATTGCAAACATGATGCTGTCCGTCCGTGTTCCCACAGCATCTGCGTCCGCTTTCGTTGCCAGTGCTTGGGTATTGGACAAGGTCTTTGTTTGGAGTAAAGACATGACGTTCTTCAAACTGTCAATGTCATTGGCATGTGCGCCCAATTTTCCATTGACAATCCCGAGCTGCTCTTCAACCTTGGACCTGAACGGCTCGAATTGCTGCTGGAAGAGTTCAGGGACTTGATTCTTCATAACAGCAATAGCAGTAGAGTGCTCGTGGAGCTTTTGACCGGTTTCATTGAAATCGTCAGAGAGTGAGTCGACTTCAGTCTGTAGGGTTTTGACCTGATCCTCGAGGGCTCTCGTAATAGCCATTACAGACAAATCGGCATTCTCAGCTCTTGCAGGCACAGCTCCTGATAAAGTGCTAGACTGAAGTAGCTGAATTTCGGCGAGCTTAGCATCCACTTCTGCCCGTGAAACATCGAGTTTTTCCGAAACGCGTTGGTCCATGGCAGCGAGTGTGGCATTGGAGTCTTCCCGTACAGCGCGAAGTTCTCCTGAAATGCGTTGATCCAGTCCGGCGAGACTAGCCTTAAGAGGTTCGTCTAGCACAATATGTTCTTTCAGGGCCCCGAATCCTTGTGAGACTTGCTCAACACCTTCAAGTCGGTTGTTGACGTCCGCTAGCTTTGTCTCTAAGTCCCGCGACTCTCCGCGTACAACGCGAAGTTCTTCCGAGACGCGTTGATCCAGTGCAGCGAGACTAGCTTGAAGAGACTCATCTAGCACGATGTGCTCTTTTAGGGCTTCAAATTTCTGTGAGACTTGCTCAACACTTTCAAGCCTGTTGTTGACATCCACTAGTTTTGTCTCCAGGCTTCTTGACTCTTTCTGGGCAATTTGAAAGCTCAGGAAGTCTTTAGCGAGCTGCTCTACGTTTTGTGCAAGAGAGTTTACGCTGGAAGAAGAGATGCCTGGTGATGCTCTCTCAAGATCGTCTATACGTGTAGCAAGGTTGCTAACGTCGACTGGTCTGATGGCTGTGTGCTGCTTCGCTGACCATGACAAGGTTGTTCCGTCAGTATCGTCAGGTCTAGCACGGTCAAGTATGCTTTCCTCAAGCTTCTTCAAGCGTCTGCTTGTGTTTTCCTCAAAGTCTTCAAGACGTGGCAGATCCCTTCTCGCTAGCCCTTTACAAAAGTGTGAACACTTCTCCAGTTCTGCTTTCAGATCCTCGATGATCCTTGGATGGTGCTGGAACACCTGAACATCTTGTTCAATATTTTTGATTTTGTACCGTGCCATGTCAGAGGTTGACTGGATCCCAGAGATGGAGTTGCGGATGATGAGTAGTTGCTGAGGGATGCTTCTTACTGTCGCTGCCAAGTCGTCTACATCCTTGAGCTTGTCCAAAGTATTCTGAAGTAATTGGTGCTCATCTGTGATACGTTTGCCCAGCTGTGCTTCCATCTCAGCCATTTCTCGACGTATTGAAGTCTTAATGTCTACAGCATTCTCGCTAACTTGATCCGCCACTAATTTCTTCATCCTGTTGTTGATGAATGTGGGCAATTCATTTTCTGAAGCCATTATCTTGGCTACAGCGTTGTTTGCTGCCTCGGCCAGACTTGCATTAGTTTGGCTTGAAGGGGGCTTTATCTGTTCTAGACGTTCTTGGACACTAGATAGTGCAACCTCTACTGCAGCTAGTCGATTTTCCACAGGCACAAGTGCATCTTTTTCTTTCTGGGAAGGTTTGTCTTTGGGAAGCAGCAAGGATTTCTCAAGCACATCTAAGCGGGTAAGTATGGGTTGCAGAGCTTTTGAAGACCACTCTTGTTGTTCTGTGAAGTTTGTCAAACGGTTGGAGTTTTGGAACACAGTCTCCAAATTCTTTAGTCTGCTGCTGAGTTCGTCTCGGACTTTCTTCAGTTGTCTGATTTCCAGTTGCTGGGCTTCGAGTTTGACCTCTACTTGATTGGCTGGTGGGGCAGATACTTCACTTGGGCTGGCCTGTGCTGCTATAGCTAGTCGTTTGTCTCGGAGTTTGCGAAGTGATTGCATAGTAATGGGTGTTCGGTCGCTGGCAGGATTGTCTGGACGTGGCGTGGGATTTGCGTGTGAACTTGACTCGGCCGGCAACATGGAAGGGGCAGAAGGAGCATTGTGGTGAGTAGGGGTAGGTGGTCCGCTGCCCAGATAAGTAGGAGACCTGGTGGGCGCATCATGCCTAGATGCTTGGTCGGTTCGGCCAGGCTTCTCTTGAGGACGTTTCGTATAGAGGGAATCGGCTGGTTTACGATCAAGCGTTCCTTTGGAACCCGCTGGAGTGTTAGTTGACAGCGAAGTACAGGAGGTCTTCCTAGATGGTGGGGGACTGGGAATCTTTATGACGGGCTTTGCCACTCGCGGCGGCAACGGCGTTGATGCTGACGCCGTAATAGCGAATGAACGGGCCTTGTCTGTCAGCGCTGAGCGTGGTTCATGTGGGCGATTCCGTTTGTTGGGAGGGCTATCCCCGCGGGAGCGGGGCTCGAGCGGCCGTTTGCCCGTACGTGAGGCCATGGAGGAGTAAAGTGCAAGTAAAGGAGCGCAGGGGATGGGTGAAGAAGATGGAAATGAAGGAGGGCGAGGGTGATGGACAACCAGGCATGTTTGCCCCACCCAGCTGCAACGCCAAGCAAGAGGAAGGAATAGATAGGCAGCAACGTGGCGAGGAGGGTGGGAGAAGAAACAAATATCTAGTCGACGAGTGTGAGCTGGAGGAAGTTTACGCTAGGCCATGCACATGCACGCTCTACTGGTATGATTGTGGGGATTGGCCGAAATGATGTGTCGGGGCAACGGTAGGGGACAGGCGCTCACGCTGCAGGTAATTGACCCAAACCGAAAGAGACGTGGAGACGTGAGAGGCGCGCCTGCCTGATCCGTGCGCCTACTGCTAGCGCCCGCCGAGCTTCACGCCGCGCGCCGACCGCGAATTGTTGCTGCTGCTGTTGCTGCTGTGCTGCTGCCATTGCATATCAGAGCTTCAAACCACCACCCCCCCAATACACTTCGCCATGGCCATGGTATGTGTCGCCCATATCCCTCTCCGCGACATGTGTCCCCACCACTAACCCTCGCCAGCCCATCACCACCATCGCCGAGACCAAGGAGCTCCGTGGGCTCAACCTCATCGCTGCGCATTCGCACATTCGCGGGCTCGGCGTCGACGATGACACGCTCGAGCCAAAGGTCTCGTCGCAGGGCCTGGTTGGGCAGGCAAAAGCTCGCAAGGCGGCGGCTGTCATTCTCAAGATGGCGCGAGACGGCAAGATTGCAGGTCGCGCAGTCCTGATTGCCGGTCCCCCAAGCACAGGCAAGACGGCCATTGCCATGGGCATGGCGCAATCCCTCGGCCCCGACGTGCCTTTTACCATGCTGGCCTCGTCTGAGATCTTCTCGCTCGAAATGTCAAAGACGGAGGCTCTCACACAAGCCTTCCGCAAGTCGATTGGCGTCCGGATAACCGAGGAGAGCGAGGTCATCGAGGGCGAGGTTGTCGAGATACAGATTGACCGCAGCGTCACGGGGAGTAACAAGCAGGGCAAGCTGACCATCAAGACGACTGACATGGAGACTGTCTACGACATGGGCACCAAGATGATCGACGGCATGACCAAGGAAAAGGTCATGGCTGGCGACATCATCTCCATCGACAAGGCCTCGGGCAAGATCACCAAGCTCGGCCGCTCCTACACGCGCTCACGAGACTACGATGCAATGGGGGTCGACACAAAGTTTGTCCAGTGTCCCGAAGGCGAGCTGCAGCAGCGGCGCGAGGTGGTGCACACAGTCAGCCTGCACGAGATCGACGTCATCAACTCGAGGACCCAGGGCTTCCTGGCTCTCTTCTCAGGCGACACGGGCGAGATCCGCAGCGAGGTGCGCGACCAAATCAACACAAAGGTGGCCGAGTGGAAAGAGGAGGGCAAGGCAACCATTGTGCCTGGTGTGCTGTTCATCGACGAAGTCCACATGCTCGACATTGAGTGTTTCTCGTTTGTCAACCGTGCGCTCGAGGACGAACTGGCACCCATTGTCATCATGGCTAGCAACAGAGGAAACACGCAGATACGCGGAACAGACTACCGGTCGCCGCACGGGCTGCCGCTGGACTTTTTAGACCGCGTCGTCATTGTCAACACGCACCCATATTCGTCGGAAGAGATGCAGCAAATCATCTCGATAAGAGCACAAGAAGAGGAGGTTGATGTGTCTCCAGACGCGCTAGCATTGCTTACCAAGATTGGTCAGGAGGCTGGGTTACGGTACGCCAGCAATCTGATCACCACCTCTGACCTGATACGCGGCAAGAGGAACGGTTCCGAGGTTACGATTGAGGATGTGCAGCGGAGCTTTGCGCTTTTCTACGACGCCAACCGAAGCGTCAAGGTAGGTTTACACAAGTCGTAGTTGCACAGGCCGAAGTTAACATGATGGCAGTTTGTTTCCGAATCAGAGAAGCGTCTAATTGGCGAGGCGGGCGATGTATCTTTTGCCGTGGCCAACGGCACGGATGCCATGGATGTTTCATAGATGATGATCCTTTTTGTTTCCTCTTTGGTTTGTGGCGTACTATGGTCTTGGACGAATTCAGCGTTTGGGCGTGCGGCTGAGGAAGCCCATGTATTTGGTAGAGCAAAAAAGCATGGCATGTACGTACTAATAGAGGCTGCGCTATCTGTGGCGACAGAACAGTCGCTGTTGTCAAGTGAGTCTGATATGCAGTTACCGTGGCAACAGTTGCTGAAGTGTGCGATGGGGTATCTTGGTATCTGGAAACAGGGAATCATTGCCGTGTGTCTGAAGAATGAGCCGGCCAACTCGATACATATCACCAACATTTGTGCCACCAAGCGCATTGGCGTAGAGGGAAAAGTGGCTCCTATTGCTGCCAGATGGACGATGACGAGGCCTTTCTGGTTTGGGTAAGGACGCACGCGATATCACGATTGACATGCCGGACAACCCTGGACCGCGCGTTCGACCACTTTTGACACCAGCCCCGCAGAGATACGTCAACGTATCAGCACGATATCTAGGATAATGGCAGCAAATGTCTTCGAGCCATATTACAGTTGCTGGACACAAGCCACCGCAGCCGTGAGCCGCCTGTTGTGGGGGTACATCATTGGCAATCACTCGCTTGTCCAAAGCTTAGCCATGCATTTGCTACATTGGAGTGGATACTCTTCTCCCTGCCAGGGCTCCACTGTCCTGAATCGACATCTTGCTCGCTTCCAACGGTGCCGAATTTCCGGGGTAGCATGGCAGCAGTGTCTGAAGCAAGGCATGTCGGGGCGCAGCTCGACCGGGCTGGTGGCTTCGGTGTCGCGTACAGTGCGTCATGTTGCCTTACGAATCCTTTGCAGCGCCCCGGCTCCATGTCCATCTCCCTCTCTTTTCTCGGTTTCTTCTGCTCCCTCTCCCCTTGACGCTGTTTGCCATTACCCTTCACGCTGTGTCGATCGTTACAACCCGAAGCACGCGACCTCCTTCCTGAATTGCTTCTCATTCTTCATACCCGGCATACCCGCATACCCCAGCCTGACTCCCTGGTTCGGTCGCCGATATAATCTAGCGGGATACAGGGGCTTTTCGTTAAAGACTTTGATGATCCACGATTGTCGCAATCACGTACCTAATTAGCAGATATCAGATACACCGCAATGCGTTTACGCACATGTGCAGCCAGTGTTGCTACCGCATCCCTCTTCATATCTTCTATCGCTATTCCAACCCCAGAGAACACCCCTTTGGTTCAAAACTCACTAACCGGTCAAATCAAATCGCGGGAGGACAGGAAGCCCAGCACAAAGTACTTCCATGAGCCTGGGTAAGTGACCCTTTTCACTGTGTCGTTGCTTTGCACAGAAAACCTTGACATCTTGGGCACCCATCTGACAGCCCTCTAGAGGCAGCCTAACACTCGGTCACTATGATGAACGCTACTTCAACGGCGTTGTATCCGACGATGAGCGGACTGACACCCAGAAACATATGATTCGTGCCTATTTGAACTTCTTCCGCGAAAACGATCTGGATACTTGGATCGCACATGGAACATTGCTAGGATGGTGGTGGAATGGAAAGGTGCGTCTGGTCTTGGCCGAACAAGAGATTGCGGCTGACATTTTACAAAGCGTCTCCCCTGGGACTTTGATCTCGACACCCAAGTCGCCGACGGTACACTACAGCACATCGGCAGGGTCCACAACCAAACAAAGTACCCATATGTATCCTACGACGGCACAGTGCAACGAGAATATCTTTTAGACGTCAACCCATGGATATGGGAGCGTGAACGCGGCGATGGCGCAAACATCATTGATGCACGATGGATTGATACCCGCAACGGCCTCTTCATCGACATCACGGGGCTCAGTGAAACGCATCCGAAAGAGCGTCCTGGCGAATGGGTCTGCAAGAATTACCACCGATATCAAACTTCAGATCTGTATCCCATGCGTGAAACCATGTTCGAGGGTGTTGTGGCTAAGGTGCCATACAACTACGACAAGATACTTGTAGATGAGTATCAAGAAAAAGCCTTGGTAGTGACCGAGTTCAATGGGTAAGTTGACCGAGTCTCGGCTGAGAGAAGTATTGCTAATAGGATTACAGGCACCGATGGGATCCGGCGATAAGAGAATGGATCAAGTCGCAAGAAGTAGTGGACCAGGAAGAAGCGGAGCGCAAGAAGCAGGCAGAAGAGGCAGCGAAGAAGGCGGAGGAGGAGGCAAAGTTGGGTTAATCTAATTACGGCTAATGAGGGGCGCGCAGCATATATTTGGAAAACCAAACGGCATGCATATTAAAACTGGGTTTTGCATATGTAGGTGTTTACTGGAGTATATCTTTATACCCCGTTGGAAGAACAAGGGGGGCATTTTCACGAACATAATCATACAAACTCGCTTCAATTATCTCGTTGGAATACTCTTTCAAAGGCATGTCAGATAAGACACAATTTTAGCCACTAAGCACATGGTATCAATCTTATGTGATTTGAAACGCAAACTCATATCACGGTACGGATCTGTAATTCGATTTACCGATTCGAAGGAAGGAGTGTTTTCAAGGTTTAGTGCTGAAAGGGCGTTCTTGAAATAATCTCCTTGTTCAATTACTGCAACAATCTTAGAGAGACGAAACTACTCTATCCAGCCATTTTGGATAGCCCGTATCGGCCAATACAACAACTATTAAGTACGTTTGGTATTCTAATTCTTGGTTTTCTACATTTATCAAGAGGACATATAGAATGTAAAGTTAATTTATAAACTAAGGAAGCGAAAAATAAAACTAGGCACTACGTCTAAACTGACTGGGTTCAAACTTTGAACCCTATGAGTATTACTAAAGAGAATATGAGCATCTCTTTCCGCGGGTTTAGTGTTCATTGTCGACAATGGAGATGGTGGTAAAACGGACCAAGTCGGAGTTTAGTGATGACAAATTCCGATGGCAGTGCATCACGTCTGGAAGCCTTCGAGAACGTCACCGAAGCAGCGCATGGCTTAGCATAGCCAAACCACATGCTACCAAACCAAACATCTTGATCACCACTAACCTTGCCACTTACAATATCTAGCTGATAGCAGTAGTCGTATGAACCGCATCTTTGCTTCCTAGCGCGAACGTGTTAACCATCTCTTAATCATGACAGAAACAGACAATTCCCCAGCACCGCCAACCTCTGGCGACGACCTCCAAATCACCCTCACGCACCATGGAAGAGCCACCGCATTCCCCTTTTCCAAAGACGCCACCATTTCCGATCTTTCAGAACGCGTTGCGGCAGAACTCTCAATACCGCCGTCGAATCAAAAGTTCCTTGTTGGCGGCAAGATCGGACTGCAGAAGCCGCCCTTTAAAGATGCAGCGCTACCACTTACGGAACTCGCATCTAAGAAGATAACACTGATGGGAAGCACGAAGGAAGAAGTGTCATCTCTCAACGACACCATATCCGCCGCCTCGGCGCCCCGGCGACCAGGTCCTATCAAAGCCGCCACACCAGCGCGAAATCGAGACTACAAGAAGATACAAGAGGAGGCGCAATACACCTTTCACACACTGCGCCCACTACCTTACCTCCCCAATCCCGAACGCTCCTTGCGCTTCCTCGAGCGGTTACGCGACGATGCCGGCATCAAAGCCGCCATGCGCACACACAAGTTCAGCGTCCCGCTGCTCACCGAGATGGATCCCGCCATGCACACAACACAAGAGTCGCGCACACTCGGACTGAACCGAAACAAAGGAGAAGTCATCGAGCTGCGACTGAGGACCGACGCATACGACGGCTATCGCGACTACAAGACGATCCGCAACACATTATGCCACGAGCTCGCACACAACGTCTGGGGTCCCCACGACCGCAATTTTTGGAATCTATGCAAGCAGATTGAGCGCGAGGTCGCTCGCGACGACTGGAAGAGCGGGGGCAGAAGCGTGGGCAACGAGGAGTTTTACGAGCCTACTGGCGAAGAAGAGGTACATGACCATGGCGGTTGGACCGGTGGGGAGTTTACCTTGGGTGGTGGGGAGACGGTGGCCAGCAACGCGGCTGGAAGTGGTGGGGCGGCGGTCAGCAATATGAGTGGAGGGGGAATGAGCAGGAGGGAAATACTAGCACGGGCTGCGGAGGAAAGAATGAAAAGGACGAAGAAGGCGGAGGAGGAGACGGATGGAGCGGGGAACATATAATGTTGCTGTCCAGTTTTAGAATGAGCGTTTATGCATACCCGGCTTTATCGCCGATAATCTTTCACAAAGACTTTTAGCGGGACTTGATGCTTACTTTATAATGACTGAACTCTAAGTCGGCGTGGGATGTAGGCGGGCTACGCCTAGAGAGCTATCTTGAGGGTTATACAAGGTGTATTGTACATTCCTACTCGATAGAGAGATGAGTTTTACAGCCAGCTTAAGATACAGCACTAGTCTAAATCTGCTACCGTTTCACTTCCCCATCCAGACGTGCTTTTCTCGTGGTGACTTTTGCTATAAAGCCTATCTTTTGCCTGTATCGCTTAGATCCTTGATAAATACCTATGAAACAATTTTAGAGCATCTAAAAAAATAGATGTAGCTCTTAAGAAGAAAGCAGCAAAGACTTATCAAAAGACCTTAGTAAGAAAGTTTAGAATAGCTATGAAACAGTGCTATGGTAGACAGCAACTCTTTATGTAGAAAACTGAAAAATCTAGTATTTGTTACTTTGCGCGAGTCCTTTGCATGTTCTGTGGTATATATGTGGCTAAGTGCTGTTATTGCTACTGCAGACTTAAGAATGGGTATCGATTGACCTTTCTAGAACACTTCGAATCGCTCACCCAGTACTAATTCAACCACTTATCTTCCCCGCATGTCGACAACTACAAAAGAAGTAAAGAGAGAAGAACCAGGGACCGCAAAATTGCCCTTGACAAAGTGACCAAGAAGAACACAATTGAGTAACATCTTCAACAACTACTACCGCATAAAACGTAAGTGTGAGGCCTCTTTTCCCTATCAAAATTGTAAAAGGTGCGGTATTACTCGGGCCTGTAAGGGGCTGCGCTCCGGGGAGCAATCGCGAGGTATACAAGAGGTTGTATTCGATAAGGAGCTATCTACTCTGCTTACGTGGTGTTTATTTACTTTAT